ATGCATATTTTTCGAAAAAACGTCGTATTTTCCTTAAAACAAACAAAAATTAAAAAACCGATCAAATTGTTTTTTCTAATTTCAATACAGATTATTAGTCGTACTTGGTAAAAATTTCGATTTTTTAAAAATTGTAAATTTGTGGCAAAAAATGTTCTTGGCCAAATTTTCACACTCTTATAAAACACCCTGTATACGAGAATTCGCTAAATATATTTTCGAAAACCCCATAGCATCTTAATCACAATAGATGTATCTAAAACCTGGTCCAAAACGCATCCCAAAATCTTTTTTAGTTCAAGAGATTTCAACTTCAAATTTACCCTAAAATTTTGCTTGTCCCGATAATTATGTCTTCCGATAATATCTCTATAAATTTATTTGACGAAATTGTCCACAAGTACTAGTTAAACGTTTTTCTTCATTTACGCACATACGCCAGAAAGAAATCTAACAACTAACCCAGAACTAACCTGTTTGATTCACTTATTTTTAAAGGCCAAGCCGTAAGGGAAATCCCCCGGGTTCCGAACGTCGTCGCATCGACCCGGAACAAAGGATCCCGCACGGTAAATCCCGCAACTTTGATCTCGCGGAATCTCAGCGGGATCCAGCATTTGCGGGATTGCATTCCCTACTTCTAATGCAAGTTCAGCCGAGGACGCCGTTTAAACTGCTAAAAACGTTAAGAGGTTTTTGTTGTTAAACGTAATGTTGCGGACCCGTGTGGACTCGACCTAACCTAACTATATGTCCCGCCCTCAGATGACCTTAACATCGCATTAAAGAATAGACACCGTAATGATTCATTCGTTCGAGAAGAATCGAGTCCCACTGGAATGGAGTAGTACATACGAGAACATTCGAAACCTTCTAAGATCTTTAGCTGTCGGTATAAAAGCCGGCGGCTGTGGCCTAGAGAGGGCAGTTATAAATAGACGAGTGCAGTTGACGCGCTAAAATTCAAAATAAATTCTTAGTTATAAATCGATTGTAAATATTTCTATAAGTCTTTTATCGTTATTGTTTTTGTTAATTAGTGTTAAATAAATAGTGACTTTCCTCCTTTAAATAAATTGTGACTTTCTATCCACACGGAACCGACGAAAAACGTAATAATTGGTGTCAAGTGTGGCGTGTGTGATAGACTAGAAAAATAAAAAGACTAACAATGGCTCCGAAGAAATTGTTGAAAGACTTGAAAGTGTCCGAATTAAAATGCATACTGGAAGAGAGGGAATGCGAGACAGATGGAAAGAAAAGCATTCTGTAAGCCAGACTGAGAGATGTTTTGATTGAGGAAGGTGAGGATCCTGACACTTTCTGCTTTGAGTTGGAAGGTGACCTTGACTCGTACCTACAAAAATTAGAAGATAAAATGACGGAAAATTCTTAAAAATTGGAAAACAATTTGAATAGTAAAATAATTGACTTGGAAGTTAATTTAGAAGATAAAATCAGTTATAAAATTATGGAAAGTTTCCAGGATTTAATCAACACATTAGAAGATAAGATCATCGAAAATTCTAAAGATATACAGGCCAGCTTTAATAATAAAATACAGGCATTAGAAGAAAAGATAACAGATACACAAGACAAAATAACAGAGATTGAGGAAGATGTAAATAGAAAAATCGAAATTTTGAAAGAACAAATAGCAAAGGCAAATTCACCAAAATGTCAAGAAACATCGGAGGGACCGAAACTAGTCGAAAATAGGTATACCTCAAAATCATTTATGAAACCTCCGCAGTTTGACGGAAAAACCGCTTGGGCCAATTATTTTTGCCAATTTGAAGCCGCTGCGAGAGCGAACGGCTGGACAATCGCTGAAAAAGCTACTGCTTTGACTATCGCCCTGCGAGGAGATGCGACTGATATCCTGCAGACACTGTCACCATCGGAACAGGGAGATTATCAGCAATTGGTACGACATTTAGAAATGAGGTACGGCTAAGCTCATTTGGAACATGTCAACCATTCTCAGCTCAAAAATCGTGTTCAGCAGCCTAATGAGACCCTAAGAGAATATCAAGCTGAAATAGTCCGCCTTGCTTGCCTTGCGTACCCTGCTATGCCCGAAAATGTTATGGAGCGCTTAGCAGTACAGGCTTTTATTGATGGTTTACGTGACAACGAGACAAGGCAAACACTTCTTTTAGCTCATCCAACGCATTTGGGAGATGCCCTAGCAAGTGCCCTGGAATTTGAGGCCGCGAAAGAATGCTCTAGGTCTCTAGGATTTGTACGGGCTGCTGAGGAGTGTTCCGACGATTCCAAAGTGGAAAGAATTGTGCGGAAAGTACTGGATCAGTATATGAGCAAGAAGGGGGGACCGATTCGCTGTTGGAATTGCGGACAGATGGGAAATCGTTGCAAAGAAGAGAAAGAAGTGAAAGTCTTAAGGACGACCGTGGTTGGTGATAGTTGGCAAACCGAAGATCTTGCAAATGACCAAATCAGCGATCCAGAGTTGAACTTGGTGATTAACTGGAAAAATGCGGACCAGAGACCAACGTGGGAGGAAGTTTGCAGATATTCGCCGAACGTGAAGTAGTACTGGTCCCAGTGGAATTCATTGGTAATAGATAACGGATTACTTCGCCGTGTGATTGAGAGACCAGAGGGACAAGAAGAGAGAAGGCAGATCGTCATTCCAAAGAAGAGGGTCCCGGAAGTCTTGGCGGAAGTTCACAATGGAACCAGCGGTGGACATCTTGGTGTTAGCAAGACCCTTGGCAAGCTGCGTGAACGGTTCTATTGGGTGAACTGCACAGAAGACGTGAGGGCCTGGTGTAAGAAATGTGACGTTTGCGCTGCTATCAATGGACCACAAAAGCGTGGTAAAGCTCCAATGCGCCAGTACAATGTAGGCAGTCCTTTCGAACGAATAGCGATTGACGTGGCTGGTCCTTTCCCGGAGACGAACGATGGCAACAAATACATTGTGGTAGTAATGGATTACTTCAGCAAATGGGTCGAGGCCTACGCGTTGCCAAATCAAGAAGCGTCCACCATTGCTGATGCCCTTGTTAAAGAATGGATGTGCAGGTTTGGTGTTCCCATGGAGCTTCATTCAGATCAGGGAAGAAACTTTGAGTCCAATCTGTTCCAAGGCGTCTGTGAGGTCCTTAACATCCGCAAGATCAGGACGACTGCTCTGCATCCACAATCCGATGGGATAGTTGAACGCATGAACAGAACCATCAACCGTTATTTGGCCAAAGTAGTCTCTGACCACCAAAGAGACTGGGACAAATTTCTTCACCTGTTCCTGTTGGCCTATCGTTCATCCGTCCAAGAATCCACAGGGCAAACTCCAGCCAGCATCGTTATGGGACGGAAAGTGCGCCTATCTTGTGATCTGAAGTTTGGTTGCCGACCGGGAGAAGATGTCGCCGGAGAAGATTATGTCCATAGACTACGCCAAAGGATGGACGACATCCATCAGCGAGTCCGCTTAAATATTCAAAACGCTAGTGACCGAATGAAGGAGCACTACGACATTCAAGCTGAGCATGGAGGATACCAACCAGGGAAGTTGGTGTGGCTATACAACCCGCAGAGACGTCGTGGATTATCTCCGAAGCTACAATCCTCGTGGGAAGGGCCATACGAAGTCATGGATAGAATTAATGACGTCGTATACCGTATTAGAAAATTGCCAAAAGGAAAACCGAGAATAGTCCATTTCAATCGTTTGAGTCCCTACCAAGGCGAAATAGAAGATCGTGCTGGGACCGTGAGAACCTGCAGCTTTGATCCCCCTGATTCGGAGATGTCCTTTGATGATTTCATGGCCCGATACAACAGCAGTGAGAAGGCTCGCTATGGTGTAACCAAAGAAGAACAACGAGACCTATTTTCCGTGCCTCCTGATTATTCGCTCGCTCACTGTGTGGCCCGAGATTTGCGGATGTCCAGAGGAATCGCTGCGACGTTCAATGAGAAGTTTGGGCGAGTCGGAGAACTACGCCGACAGGATCCAGAGGTTGGAAGCGTTTTGAGGCTAACCGACAATGAACATGGTCAAACAAGGCACATTTTCTACCTAGTCACCAAGGAATGGTCCCCAAGTAAGTCGACTTATCTCAATCTATGGAAGACCCTGATTGAACTGAGAGAAGCGCTGCTAAACAACAACATTACACGATTAGCCATTCCGAAGCTGGCGTGTGGACTCGATGGTTTGAGTTGGCGTACAATCCGGAACAATGATTGAAGTCTTGTTCAGATTTACGGGAATCGAGATCCTCGTTTGCTGCTACAACCCAAAGCTGAGATCGGGAGAGAAAACTGTAGACTGCTATTTCTACCAGACTTCTCAATGTACCAGGGGCCAGCTTTGCAAATACCTTCATTCACCGTGTACATCTCGGGACGAGCATGTATCTAAGAAGGGGGTGGTGTTGCGGACCCGTGTGGACTCGACCTAACCTAACTATATGTCCCGCCCTCAGATGACCTTAACATCGCATTAAAGAATAGACACCGTAATGATTCATTCGTTCGAGAAGAATCGAGTCCCACTGGAATGGAGTAGTACATACGAGAACATTCGAAACCTTCTCTATGCACCAAACGATCTATGGACTATTCTAGAGATCTTTAGCTGTCGGTATAAAAGCCGGCGGCTGTGGCCTAGAGAGGGCAGTTATAAATAGACGAGTGCAGTTGACGCGTTAAAATTCAAAATAAATTCTTAGTTATAAATCGTTTGTAAATAGTTCTATAAGTCTTTTATCGTTATTGTTTTTGTTAATTAGTGTTAAATAAATAGTGTTTAAATAAATTGTGACTTTCTATCCACACGGAACCGACGAAAAACGTAACAATAAATTTTAATTTTAGTCAACTAAAAATTCATGCCTTATTCTGAACCAAGTGACTTTTTATAAAAAGAGTGATTTATTTTTGTGAGAATATTTCCGGTATATTTTTACATGTTATCATCTTATTTGCGACAGCCAAAAATCTAAATAACTTTTTCTTTCTATTAGAATGAAGCATCAAAATTGAAAACTGAATTGATAGAGGTAAATGAAGAAAAGCACAAACTGAAAATATCTTTGGATAAGTTGAAAAAGAATTTTGATGAGAATAAAATAACACTGGACCTGGTTATGAAAAAAATGCAAGAATTCGAACCAAGATATTACGAAAAAAGAGATGCCCTGATTAAATCTGAATTGCAATACAAAATTGCTGTAAGGGTCTGACATAATCTCAGAGAAATACATAAACATAGAAGCATATACTAACGTATTTAGAATATACTTACAATAACATTTGGTTTGTGGTAGATTTTAAAAGAATTACCTCTATATTAAAGTGTCTCGTAATGCCAATTTTTATACCGAATGCGTCTCATAAGGGGCTCACTCCTATAAACTTTTTATTCTTTCAGATAAAAAAACGTGATTTGGTACGTTAGTATATGACATAAATTAGGATTAATTGACGTATTCAATTATTTTTGGTCACTTCCTGTTTCAACGGAAATGATTACAACTTTTGATTTTTAAATAGAACCCTCGGTATATATCTACTCTTTTATCTACTTTATTCGATAGAAAATGACACTATGAATAGATTGACTTGGCTATATTGACATATGATATTTTCGCATATGGCAGTGGCGGATCGTCAGGGTAGGCAAGGTAGGCGGCGCCTACCCTAAGATTTTGGCAAAATTTAAGCGATTTATTACGTTACATTATTTACTATATTAATGTTGCCAATACATAAAAATACTGTTAATACACGGAAGTGTGTTTTAATAATCAATATTATTTGAATATTTGTGGTCTTGTATATTAACATATTCACTACCGCTGACCGCTGACTGTGCCTGTGCCGCTTGCCGCTGCATTAGAAAACAAAATAATTTTGACCGTTGGAGTGTCTTTGTTCGACGATTTCTATATCGCCTACTGTCAGAGTCGATGCACGACGCACGGCAGTCTTCTGTCTCTGTCTAACTCATCGTGCGGTAGCGACGCGACGTAAGTCGGGGTTGTATCGTATTAAGGCGGGGCTTAGGCGAAATCTCCGGTCGCCTTCGCATGAAGTCGTGGAGGCTCGGTAGGATTAGAAGTTAAGGGGATATTCCCGATATTTCATAACGACAGCAATTTTATTTCATAACAACAAATATATCACATTTCGTTAAGGGGATATTTCATATGATTCATTATACGTAGCATTTAAAACTTTTATATGAAAATTCAAAAAACGTTTAAAGCAAATTGGAAACATTTTTCGGGCTTATCCGAGATTATTAAAAATGATATAACCGCTTGAATTTCAGAACACGCCACAGAAATAAAAGAATCTGAAATAAAAAAGCGCGTTATTTTATTCGGTGCAAGAAGACGATATTATAGAAAAGTCGCTGTGCTATTTCAATTCGATATGTTAATAAAAGCGGCTAAGTCAAATATCTTTGCGAATTTTAGTATATGAAATATTAGATAACATTGTTATACATTTAGAAATAAGGTTTGCAGATAGGTACTCATGTATGTCTCAATTATTTTTATTTATCTCTTGCGGATCCAAAATTTAAAGAATCTTATAAAAAATTTCTAACGCATTTAACATCTGATTTAACAAACTTCCAACCAACATTTCCAACTTCCAACGCATTTAATAGTGATTTAACAAACAAAAAATGTTATTGACCAACATAAATTAATGAACAAATTGCAGGTACTAATAATAGATATGATAATTTTGATTATAAAATAATTTAAGAAGAATATTCCTGGAAATATATTTCCAGAGGCTTTCAAATTGTTTGCTTTGTTTATTACTACACCATTTACAAGTACTTTTTATTTGAAAGACATTTTTCATGTTTGAAATGCATTAAAATTTATACTAGAGATTCCATGAAAAATAAACGTTTATCGCCACTTGCCTTACTTTCAATTTAAAAAGATCTTTTCACAGATCTTCAACAATCTGATGATTTTACTGATATAATAATAAATAACTTTTCTTTATTAAGAGACTGACTCATCAATTTAATATTTAAAACATAATTATTATTTCTCTCAATACTACCAATTTTTAAGTTTGCGTAAATAAATAATAAAATGTCAAGAAACACCGGATGATCCGAAACTAGTCGAAAATAAGTACCTATACCTCAAAGTCGGTTATGAATCCCCCAGAGTTTGACGGAAAAACCGCTTGGGCCAATTATTTTTGCGAATTTGAAGCCGCTGCGAGAGCGAACGGCTGGACAATCGCTAAGAAAGCTACCGCCATGACTATCGCACTGAGAGGAAATGCGACCGACATTCTGCAGACACTCTCACCATCGGAACAGGGAGATTACCAGCAATTGGTACGACATTTAGAAATGAGGTACGGCCAGGCTCATTTAGAGCATGTCTACCATTCCCAGCTAAAAAATCGTGTTCACAAGCCCAATGAGACCCTAAGAGAATATTAAGCTGAAATAGTCCGCCTTGCTCGCCTTGCGTACCCTGCTATGCCCGAAAATGTTATGGAGCGCTTAACAGTACAGGCTTTTATGGATGGTTTACGTGACAACGAGACAAGGCAAACACTTCTTTTAGCTCATCCAACGCATTTGGGAGTGCCCTAGCACGTGCCCTGGAATTTGAGGCCGCGAAAGAATGCTCTAGGTCTCTAGGGTTTGTACGGGCTGTTGAGGATTGTTCCGACGATTCCAAAGTGGAAAGGATAAAGTACCGGATCAGTATATGAGCAAAAAGGGGGGACCGATTCGCTGTTGGAATTGCGGAGAGACGGGAAGTCGTTGCAAAGAAGAGAAAGAAGTGAAAGTCTTAAGGACGGCTGTGGTTGGTGATAGTTGGCAAACCGAAGATCTTGCAAATGACCAAATCAGTGACCCAGAATTAGGCTTAGTGATTAACTGGAAAAACGCGGACCAAAGACCAACGTGGGAGGAAGTTGCAGATATTCGCCGAACGTGAAGTCGTACTGGGCCCAGTGGAATTCCTTGGTAATAGATGACAGGTTACTCCGCCGTGTGATTGAGAGACCAGAGGGACAAGAAGAGAGAAGGCAGATCGTCATTCCAAAGAAGAGGGCCCCGGAAGTCTTGGAGGAAGTTCACAATGGAACCAGCGGTGGACATCTTGGTGTTCCCAAGACACTTGGCAAGCTGCGAGAACGGTTCTATTGGGTGAACTGCAAAGAAGACGTGAGGGCTTGGTGCAAGAAATGTGACGTGTGCGCTGCTATCAATGGTCCACAAAAGCGCGATAAAGCTCCAATGCGCCAGTACAATGTAGGCAGTCCCTTCGAACGAATAGCGATCGACGTGGCTGGTCCTTTCCCGGAGACGAACGATGGCAACAAATACATTGTGGTAGTAATGGATTACTTCAGCAAATGGGTCGAGGCCTACGCGTTGCCAAATCAAGAAGCGTCCACCATTGCCGATGCCCTTGTTAAAGAATGGATTTGCAGGTTTGGTGTTCCCATGGAGCTTCATTCAGATCAGGGAAGAAATTTTGAGTACAATCTGTTCCAAGGCGTATGTGAAGTCCTTAACATTCGCAAGACCAGGACGACGGCTCTACATCCACAATCCGATGGGATGGTTGAACGCATGAACAGAACTATCAACCGTTATCTGGCCAAAGCAGTCTCTGACCACGACTGGGACAAATTCCTTCACCTGTTCCTGTTGGCCTACCGTTCATCCGTCCAAGAATCTACAGGGCAAACTCCAGCCAGCATCGTTATGGGACGGAAAGTGCGCCTACCCTGTGATCTGAAGTTTGGTTGCCGACCGGGAGAAGAAGTCGCCGGAGAAGATTATGTCCACACACTACGTCAAAGGATGGACGACATCCATCAGCGAGTCCGCCTAAATATTCAAAGCGCTAGTGACCGAATGAAGGAACACTACGACATTCAAGCTGAGCATGGAGGGTACCAACCAGGGAAGTTGGTGTGGCTATACAACCCACAGAGACGTCGTGGGTTAACTCCGAAGCTACAGTCCTCGTGGGAAGGGCCATACGAAGTCATGGATAGAATTAATGACGTCGTATACCGTATTAGAAAATTGCCAAAAGGATAACCCAGGATAGTCCATTTCAACCGTTTGAGCCCCTACCAAGGTGAAATAGAAGATCGTGCTGGGACCGTGAGAACCTGCAGCTTTGATCCCCCTGATTCGGAGATGTCCTTTGACGACTTCATGGCCCGATACAACAGCAGTGAGAAGGCTCGCTATGGTGTGACCAAAGAAGAACAACGAGACCTTTTTTCCGTGCCTCCTGGTTATTCGCTCGCTCACTAAGTGGCCTGAGATTTGCGGGTGTCCAGAGGAATCGCTGCGACGTTCAATGAGAAGTTTGGGCGGGTCAGAGAACTACGCCGACAGGATCCAGAGGTTGGAAGCGTCTTGAGGCTAACCGACAATGAACATGGTCAAGCAAGACTCATCTTCTACCTGGTCACCAAGGAATGGTCGCCGAGTAAGCCAAATTATCTCAATCTATGGAAGACCCTGATTGAACTGAGAGAAGCCCTGCTAAACAACAACATTACACGATTAGCCATTCCGAATCTGGCGTGTGGACTCGATGGTTTGAGTTGGCGTACAATCCGGAGTATGATTGAAGTCTTTATTTAGATTTACGGGAATCGAGATCCTCGTTTGCTGCTACAACCCAAAGCTGAGATCGGGCGAGAAAACTGTAGACTGCTTTTTCTACCAGACTTCTCAATGTACCAGGGGCCAGTTTTGGAAATACCTTCATTCACCATGTACATCTGGGGACGAGCATGTATCCGACTCATAAGCCCGGCGACGTTTGAAAACGAATAGAAGTTGGTAGAACACGGCTAAGAATTCTCGAGACAAATCTGGATCGTCTGTTTCTCTCATATATAAGCAGACGCCTGAAGCCTGAGGAGACAGAGAAAAACAACCGATCGACGCGTACAGTTATAATCGCCGCGCTATATTCAAAATAAATTCCTGTTAGATAAATAGTTAGATAAATTGTAAATAAGTTATAAATAGTTCTTTAAGTCTTTTAATCGTTATTGTTTTTGTTAATTAGTGTTAAATAAATAGTGTTTAAATAAATTGTGACTTTCTATCCACACGGAACCGGCGAAAAACGTAACAGTATGATATGTCATTCTACTCAGAATGTCATTTTCTTTCGAACAGTAGAAATAACCTATTTTTCTATGGTAGGTAGAAATATACCGAAAGTGCCATTTAAAAATCCAAAGTTGTAGTCATTTTCGGTAAAACAGGAAGCGACCAAAATCAATTGAATACGCCAATCAATCCTAATTTATGTCATATACTTAGATACCAAATCGTTTGTTTTTATCTGAAAAAATAAAAAAAAAAGTTACACGGGTGAGCCACTTTCGAAACGCACCCTGTATAAGTAAGTAAAAAGTAATGCGAAGCCTTTGCTAAAAAAACAAATTCAAAAATAAAATTTTACCTAGAAAACCGATGACGGTGCCAGATTGACGTGCAATTACACTTATTATATTTTTAAATTTAGGCCGTAAAAAATAACGCTCAAAAGTTGATTCAAAACTGATATTTCTGTAAAACGTAACAATATTGCAAGATATAAACATAACCGTTCTCTAGGTTTACTTATTTCTCTCAAGACATGCAGATTATTATTAGAAGCACAATACGATCGAGAAAAAAAACGACGTCAAAGACGGCTGGGGAATGACAATCGATGATAATTTTGGCGAGGTCAAGCCCTAGATGTTATTTACTTGGCTCGTCCTCTTGATGCGTCATAAAAAAGCAATGACAAATTAACTTTAAACTATTGAATTAATAACAGGTAACTGAAATAGACGTGTTAAAGCAAGATTTGCAAAAGATTAGTTCTGAAACATCACAACTAACAAGAAAACTAGATAATTTAGAAGAGAAACAAAAATGTGATGCAACATACAATGGAGACATGTCAGCGAAGTTTGCCCAAATTAAAAACCAAATTAATACAATCAAAGCGTGAGTTCTTTTTTAATGTAGATAGGTGAATGAAATTCTAAAAATGTATTGTTTCTACTACTAGAGAGCTTGAAAACGCCACTAAAGACCAATACAAAATAACTGAGATTAGCCGCAAGATCGATTTGTCTGAAGAAGCTGTTAAAAAATGTAAAGAGTTAAAACTGAAAAATAAAACTTTAAAGGAAGAGCTTGAGAAGTCTAATGAAGAAAACGTTAAATTAAAAGGTTAAAATGCTGATTATTTAATATTTAAATAGGTATATATGCGTTTTAAAAATGCTTTTGTCTGCTTTTCATTGCAGCACAATGGGAAAAATTTGAAGATATATACCAGAAAAGTTTACTTAAAGAAGAATTTAACTTACCCGCAAAAATATTTTTGATTCAGGTAAATAAATATTTGCATTTAGTCAATCTTAAGCTTCATTCAGAACCTCGAAATCAGTGGAATAAATTAGTAGTTTCAATTAGCCGTAAAAGTTTGTTCACCTAATTTTAATGTAAAGCTTCATTCAGAACCTCGCCAATTAGTAGAATAAATTAGTGGCTTCAATTAGCATAGAAGTTTGTTCCTCTAATTTGAATGTAAGCATTCAGAACGTCAAAATTAGCAGTAGGAATTTTCAATTAGTGGAAAAAGTTAACAAACTTTTGACTTTTCCACTAATTATATTTCAAAATTTGCGAGGAATGTCATTTTGGCCTTTGATTATCATCCGTCAAGAGAAAATGTTGTTAGAAACCAAAAGTTTATTGTTTTATAAGCTAAATATTAGGCTTTCTCTATGGATGACACTGATTACTGTACTGATTCTGAACCGTCCCAGAACACTGCAGCGCATGCGCAAATGAAATAATGTCCTCATATTTCCTTCTGCGCATACGCATCACAGTTCTAGGACGGTTCAGAATCGGCAATAAGAAAAACCCGAAGTAAGCTGATAAGCTGTTGCTAGGATATTCTATTAATTTTTTTTTAGACATTGTGAATGATCGTAAACTATAAATATAAGTATAAAATATAAGTATAAAGTATAATTGAAATCACTAATTCTTTCCACTAATTGCGAGGTTCTGAATGAAGCTTAAGCATTCAGAACGTCATAATTAGTGGTAGTAATTTTCAATTAGTGGAAAAAGTTAACAAACATTTTACTTTTCCACTAATTATACTTCAAAATTACTGTAAAATTTTATGAATTTTGATATCAAACACACTATACCTAACATTAATAGCGCGCGCGCGCGTTTTTGAGGAAAAAAATATTTAAACTTTTTGGACGAAAAGACTGCCTGTCATAAAATATATGTGTATAGTCTAAACGTCAAATTTAGTGATTACCACAGCCACCGTGCCATAAGTTGCCATAAGAGAAGACATGTGGCTATCTATTTCAAAAATTAAATTGTTTGAATGTCATATAAAGCTGCAGCTGTCGTGGAATTGAGAGATTAAAAAAGTATCATAAATCATTTTTTTCAAATGGCAACCCACTTTTTTTATTTCACTAGTGAAAAGGCTTTTCAATTCGTTACTTTTTGACTATACATGTTCCTATACCTAAAATGAATCGTTTTTTTTTATTTAAAATTTATAATCGCTATTTAAAATTTAGTTTTAAAGCGTATATTTTTCTTGATTTTAACAAGTACCTAGCCTATGACTTTAAACGTCAAGTGATGTAAAACAATAGATCTGGCCTGGCCATGTCGTATTGTGCCACTTTGTTCAAAAAGCAGTATGTTATCGATCATCATTTGCAAGCTAACTTTGCGTTGTTTTTTTTTCAGGGTTGATACAGTACATTATTAATATAATTAATAATATCAACTATTAGATATCACTAAGGAGCGAAAATACGAGATATATTTTTATAAATACACTTTTTAAACTTTTAACACCACAGTATTTACAATATAGGAAATTCAAATAATTTGTTTTCTGACAGATGGAAATAAATTGTCTGACTTTTTGACACTTAATGTCAAAGGAAGCTAGATAAAATCAAGAAAAATATACGTTTTCAAACTAAATTTTAAATAACTTAAAAACGATTTATTTTAGGTATAGGAACATGTATAGTTAAAAAGTAACGAAGTGTAAAATCTTTTCACTAGTGAAATAAAAAAAGTAGGTTTCCATTTGAAAAAAATGATTTATGATACTTTTTTAATCTCTCAGTTCCATGACAGCTGCAGCCATTATTATATGACATTCAAACTATTTAATTTTTGAAATAGATAGCCACATGTCTTCTCTTATGGCACGGTGGCTGTGGTAATCACTAAATTTGACGTTTAGACTATACACATATTTTTGACAGGCAGTTTTTTTCGTCCAAAAATTTTAAATATTTTTTTTCTCAAAAACGGTTAATGTTAGGTATAGAGTGGATATCAAAATTCATAAAATTTTACAGAGAATTTAAGTATGTTATAAAAAATAGGGGCACCTATTTAAAATAAGAAAGTTGTTGTCAACTTCCGGTATTTCCGGAAGTGCCGCCATATTGAAAATATTTTTAATCGATAGATCTCGTTGTAAAACAATGATGTGCAAAAAATCTCCGGTCTAGATATTGTGGTTCTCTAGAAACTTCTAATTTCTAATGCACACTCAGCCTGGGACACCCAGTATACCTTTGATAAATTACAGGCGAAGCACAAAAAGTAATTTTTACTCAGAATAATAGAACATGCTATTTTCTCTTTCAAACATTACATATAATTTTTTAAACAATTTCTCAAACGTTGCAAATAATATGAAAAGATTAAAAGTAATACACTTTGTGTCAGTTTAATGATATACTTTCGTACTTTTGTACTTAGGCGTAAAAATGCTTTACTTTTATGCCTAGGCGTTAAATGGACTTTTTTATATTGCAATCACATCTCAAAAAGTAATACTTAAGGCTATTACTAATAAAGTTTTATAACATCTAATTAAATTTGGACGATAAAAATAGTACCTACTGGTTGCTGTAGATAATTTTCTCAGGGAAAATAAGTAAATAAAAAGGACATTTTAGGGCAAAAACGTGAAAAGGACAATTTGTTCTAAAAAGGACAGGTTTCAACCTTATTTCCAAGCCTCCGGTTTTTTTTTCAATCATGCTAGTTATTTAGAGTCTGTATATTTTAATAAAAATATCGACATATACATATTTGATTTTTTATTTTAGTGTAAAAAGATGAGTAGTTTTTATACAGAAGCTATAAAAAATAGAAATGAACTTTTGACCACAGCAAATAAGTTACTAGAAGAAGAAAAACTAACGAACAAAAGACTTATCGAAGAAAATGAAAAACTGTTTGAAAAATGTCGTACTTTAGATGAAAAATCAGAGAAATTGTGTCTTAACCAATAATTATATTTACATTTTATAAAAGAAACTTAGAAATATGATGAACAATAAAGGATCCAGAGGGTTCTAGAGAATTAAATCCGTATTTTGATTTAATTTTTACGCTACTATACAGAAAATTTTATTTTTCCGTGACATAAAAATGTAAAAATTTTTAGAAGTAAAACAATTATTTTGAATTAGTAACATTAGTATAGGTATCTACATTAATCATAACATCTATATATCTCCAATAGATTTTTTTATGTCTCTGTAATAGAGACGTAAATTAAATAGGTACTCTGTAAAAGACTGGTCGTGTTGTTCGGGGCTAGTGAATAATCCAGTCATCGGCCAAGAAAGTGTGATAGGAACATCATGCTAATCAACAAGGATAGTTCAAAAGTATTCAAATTAATAACTCTTTATAATGTCTTTATTAATAACTGTGTCATGTGTTATGCATGTTTCCTTACATACAGCCAAATACAAGGATACATTAAAATACGCAACCAACCGTCCAATCAGATGAAAGAGGTACGTACCCTATCGTTGGGTATTGTGCAATCACGTGATGCTCATGTCGTATGACGGTTAAATCTTTGGTTAGAATTTTTGTTGTTGTTTTTACCTGTTTTTACAGTTTTTACTTTATTTTTCTATTTACATCAGATTTATATTTTGTAATTGCCTATCAGACAATACGTATTTAGAAAAATAATAAGAATTAGGATCGTGTTTTTTTTTAAATCCTGGATATTAATTGGAACCCTTGATAACATTCTGCTTTTGATATAAAAAGTGCATTTTTGATTATTTACTTGGGCTAGGATATTAAAATATCGGTTGGATTGTACGACATAAATAGATGTAGGTATGATTATTTATATATATGTATGTATTTATAAAGCTTACTATCTGTTTTGCATTTTCAGTTTTTGATCAGACATTTCATTTTATTTGTGAAATGCCCACAAAAAAGCTTCCCATGATTCAACATCAGTGTGTTTGCTGCATAATGGATCATTCCTGCTGAATTTTTAGATCATTTGAAGACTACATGGAAAAAACCAGATAATATGTTACATTTTCATAGAAATTGATAGCGAGACAATTTTATAGGCAAGTGTTAGCATTATTCGAGGCACCATCAAAGAAAGCAATAATAATATGCTTAGTCCCAGAGATATTACAGCTTAGTTATTTTGCCCTACAGGAGAAAAACCAGAGTAGTTCACTCGTAATTGCATTTTCTCGGCTCCAGTTAAAATGAACAAAGCTGGTTTTTCCTGTGGTCTTCATTTGAAATAACGTAAATAAATGTTTATACATATGTATGTGATGATTAAATTGGTGTTAAGGAAATAAAAATGTTTTCGATATTAATATATACCTATATATGTATATTTATTTTGAAATAAATTACACTTTTAACAGTTTAATGGAGTTTTTAAAGCCAGTTATAATATTTATATTTTAAAAACTTGAAATCATGTGGATGTAATCACGCATTAAACCACAGACTAACTTATATAAGTCAAAAAGTAGATTTTAGTGTTAACTTTATATAACTTGTAAGTAAAATAATAAATAAAACAAATATGAAAAAACCAACAATTCTAATGTATATATTAAAATACAGTACAATAATAGGTATCTGATACCCTCACTTAACGTAGAATAATATTCTACCCAACTCAATACTATGTCCAACATGAGTTTCAAATATATCGGGCCCTAATCGTTCCTGAAAATAATATTTTTTTACATTGTTATACCATATTCTAAACTATTTAATATTTCAGTCACTTAAAAAGTTAATTTGTATTGAATAATTGTCTACCATTAAAGCAAATTTGGACTAGTATTTTTAATGGGCATATTCTGTGTATGGATATAGGTACTTCCTCCAGATTTTGGGTTCAACCAATTTATTCTTAAAACCTGAAACATCTACGTATAAAAAATAGACAGGTTACTAATTATAATAAAATTTACCCTTAGAATTATACTTCTTTAACAAATAATTTCCATTGGTATACTTTTCCATGACAAGTAATCAACTTCCTAACATTTTTTAATTGATGTAATACTTCCTCATGATGCGAAAAGAAAATCTTTTCTTTAGCACACAAAGGACAAACGATATGTTGGCTTACTTTCAGATTAGTTACTTTTCCATAGATATCCTCATGTCAATTCAAAGACGATGAACATGAAATGATCATCACATGAAAAATCACAAACTAAAACCCTAATAAACAAGTTTATATCGAATATAGAAATAAATTTAGAGTGTTCTTACCTATTGTCGTCCAAATCCCGTTAATAGATAATTAATTTTTTGGATTTTTATCTTTTATTTTTAAATATATCTTTCGAACTACTGGTTTAGTAATTATTAAATTAAACGAACTAAAAAGTCAAAATAATAAACAATTCTCTTGTCAATTGTCAATTTTCTCCAGTAAATTAACTATAAATTTTATTAAAAACACAATTAAATCGTATACTAACAATGAAAATGTAGTATCCCAGTCGATCGCAGTGCCTCTGCTGTCAAACCGAGGAAGCTGCTTAAAAGTGGGGACAGAAATTTCAAATTTGCCCATTGCCGATAAATCTCCTTTTTTAAGCCCTCCATAAACACGTTATAACAAGGTTATAACAAAGGTTATAACGTATTTCTGGATGTATAGATCTTTGTTACTCTTTTACGCAAAAACTACTGAATGGATTTTAATGAAACTTTACAATAATATAGCTTATACATCAGAATAACATATAGGCTATAAATTACGGGTAGTTCGGTATTTCCATAGTTTGTTAGTTCGTAGTTCGGTAATTTGTAATTCGGTAGTTCGTAGTAGGCACAAACAAAGGAGACAAATGACTACCTAAGTGAAACAGAAGGCGACAATGTTGTGTTGAAAATAAAATTTAGATGGCTGTAAAGTCCTTATTACAAAGTGTTTACTGGGTCCAAGAATTGAAAAGGAGTAAAAGAGAAGGCTGTTGAGGCAGTGAAATCGATAAGTATAAAGATAAAAAAAAATTAAATTAAATATTAATTTCCCAGAAGGCAAAGTAGTCGTTTGAATCTTAGATACAGAATAAAAAGTTTGAATGTAGTAGAAAAAAAAAAATATTGTACGCCAATGATTATACGCGTTCAGGGAACACAGTCGCTGACCGACCGCTGAGAATTTTGCTCAGCGGCTGACTGTTGTGTGTAAAATACTTAGATTAACAGGTAAAATAGACCGTTCAGGAAAGTCGCTTACTCCGCCCCGCTGACCGTCCCTGAACGCCCTCAATAGCTCTCATTTATTGTTATTATTCATTTCAAATTTATTTTTTTTAATTTTTTTTAAAATTAAATTTCTGTATCTGCAGTTAAGTGGCAAGAATACTTATATAATTTTATTATATAGCTATACTGCAAGAAATTTGTTTTCTATTTTATAATTTGGCTTGCCTGAAAAAAAGCCTTTTACCATCCTTTTACTATTGATAGTGTGCCGCGGTGGTACGAAAGTACTACCATTGCACGCAGGCCGCTATCTCCCGTTCGGGACTTAATATCTAACCGACACTTTCCGACAAACCGGAATTAACTATCTCTGCGCTGTGGTTGTCATTTTGTGGATCTGCCCAAGCTCACCTGATGATGGAGTAGGGCTCCGAAACCGGTAGTGAGAGCAGATTGATCCACATTATGACAAACACAGCGTAGAATTAAATTTCTGTGTCAGCAGTAAAGTGCAAGAATACTTATATAATTTTATTATATACCTATACTGCAAGAAATTTGTTTTCTATTTTATATGTAAAATTATATAGGGAATGTCATCGATCGTCATTTCCAATCCAACTGGGCGCCGTTTTTTTCAACCATAAAGTCTAATAGAACTATTTTGATACATCGGCAATTTCTTTCGATATATTTATTGATATCTCTGTTGATATACCAAAACAAATCGTATGACACGTTGTGTTCTACATTGTATTTGCAATTATTTGCAATATTTTGAACAAAAAATAAAGAATCTATCGATATCGATATATTTCAGACAATATATCGATATACCGTACCGTCCCTACAAAACTACTCAATCTGTATGCAACCATCTTTGCAACCATCTATGCAAATAAAACATAACCCAATATAACCTGACAAGGCCTAGGCAGTGGACCAGGAATTAAACTAAGTTTAAAAATATTTTTTATATCTATTTTAGCATTAAAAAACAATAATTCCATTATGAAGCGACTTTCGGAGGAACGTATTAAAGTTCTATTTGAGAAACTTGCAAAATAGTAAGTTACAATACTCATTTCCTATAAAGTTTGTTTAACATCTTACATTTTAGCATTGGGCCAAATATTAAATTATTAATAGAGAGGCCGGATGGTTTATATTGCTTTAGAGAACAGAAAGACAGAGTCTATTATATTTCTGAAAATATTTTGAAATTGGCAAACACAATCCAATCAGAAAACTTAGTGTCGGCAGGTACATGTTTTGGAAAATTTACAAAAACAGGAAAATTTAGATTACACATTACAGCTTTAAACTATTTGGCACCATACGCACAAGTATACAGTAAACTTTATACTTTAAAAACTAGTATTACTGATGAATTTTTTCAGTGTAAACTATGGTTAAAACCTGCTGCAGAACAACAGTTTCTATATGGTAATAATGTTTCAAAAGCAGGCTTAGGAAGGATAAGTGAAAACTGTGAAAAATATCAAGGAGTTTTAGTTTACAGTATGTCGGATTTACCTCTTGGATTCGGGGTAGCAGCGAAATCAACAGCCGAATGTAAATTGGCAGATCCATTAGCAGCAATATGTTTTCATCAAGCAGATATTGGTGAATATATTCGCTCAGAAGAAGATTTGTTGTAATAAACTAATTATAAAATAAATGTAAATTCTAGGATTAAAAAATAAAAAGCATATATTTTTAATCTTTATTCTTCAATATGAAACAGTATTAAATTAATAATTTCTTAAATTAAATATCTGATATACAGTTTTACTAAGAGCAATACCAATAGTCTTTCCACCTCTATCATACTTTATACTTGACAATAATTTCTCTCCTTCCATAGTTGTCATACTTTTATATGCCTTCCTTAATAATGCTGGCGATGAATATTTTTCAGTAATGGCTAAAGCTCGCTCTACTGACATTCCTTTAATTTGAATAAGGCTTTTTATAAAATATTCAGACACTTTCATATTCTAAAATAAATTATAAAATTTAACTTCCAAGTGCAGATACTCTACAATATTTTTTTTTATAAAGCAGGCTTTTTGACTCTTACAGCTCAACAAATTCTAATATAGAATTAAAAGACTAATAAACTGAAAAATGAAATAAAACTAATTAATTGAGATATGAACTTAATTTGCACACCACAAAAACGCCCCTACGTACCCAAAGCTTTGGTTTCCTCCAAATTTGGCTGTAATTGATGGCTAGCTACACCCCATAAAAGAGTCTATGTAAGCAAATCAGTGTATTCCTCCAAAGCGTTCGGCTCGAAAAATACGGCACTGTATTTTCTGAAGCGGCCGCTCTTTACAATAGGATATTGCAAGTAGCGATGGGAATTATCGAATGGTTACTGAATGAATGATTTCAACTATCGAATGGTTTTATTCAAATAAAATCATTCATTCATTTGTATACTAGAGCATAACCTCGCCGTGCGGCTAAATGGTTATCGTTGAGCCACGACTATTGAATGCTTTTGATAAATGAAATTTAGTATTCGTTTGATTTTTATGTGCGTCAGTGCATTATTAGTACTTCCAAATTTTTATAACTTCGCCTTATAAATACTGTGCTATTTTTGCGTTTAGTAAAATATTTAAAATACTAAAATAGTAGTTTTTTTTAAAATTGACGATTGTGTGAGTGTGCAGGTGGTCAAAATTTTTCCGAAAATTTGTGTGATTTTCCGTAACCCCATCTTTCAATTATTTAATTTTATATGGTATATGGTCTATTTTTTAATGGGAAATTTTGAGAAGTAGCAATTTTTAAGAGAGATGAGATGAACTCACAATTTTAAAAATACATATTTGTATTTTAGATGTTTTAATAATATGAATTAATTGAATTTAATAATCATATTTAAGTAATGTGGTTAACTAACTGGTTATCGAACTCAAACTATGGGGTGAGAAAATTAAATTGAAAGTTTTACAGGTGCCAATTTAAAAAAAAAGTTAACGATGTTTGTATTTTGTTTATGCTAATTCTCTTACATGTAGTTTTTTGCGAAAAAATATTTCATTTATTTTTTAAAGTAAATGCTAGTAAAAGTAAATATTATTTTTAAATAGTAATATAAAGTACCTAATATAAATAATTTTGATTTCTAATTTTTTATTTATATTTTCCTTCCATTACACTGCATGCTTAGAAAATTAATAAATGTTTATATTTCATGATTTTAAAATTTGTTGTTAATATAACAAATTAGTTCTGTAATTATTATTATTTAATAAACCATCGTTGCCAAAAAATTTAGAGACTATATTACTTTTAAATAGGATCTAATATAAATAATTTTGACATCTAATTTGCTACTACTTAAAAAAATGTTTATATTAAATGACTTTAAATTTTGTTGTTAATAGGAGTAATAAATTATTATATGTTATTATTATTTATTAAACCAGTCTTTGCTTAAAAACATTAAAAATACTTTTCCTACATCCAAAATAACAAGTATTATTGCAGTGTAACAACAGAATATTAATAAAAAATGCAAAATATATAGACATACTATCCCTAACGTTCCCTAACGATGTTTATATTTTGTTTATGCTAATTCTCTTACATGTAGTTTTTTGCGAAAAAATATTTCATTTATTTTTTAAAGTAAATGCCAGTAAAAGTAAATATTATTTTTAAATAGTAATATAAAGTACCTAATATAAATAATTTTGATTTCTAATTTTTTATTTATATTTTCCTTCCATTACACTGCATGCTTAGAAAATTAATAAATGTTTATATTTCATGATTTTAAAATTTGTTGTTAATATAACAAATTAGTTCTGTAATTATTATTATTTAATAAACCATCGTTGCCAAAAAATTTAGAGACTATATTACTTTTAAATAGGATCTAATATAAATAATTTTGACATCTAATTTGCTACTACTTAAAAAAATGTTTATATTAAATGACTTTAAATTTTGTTGTTAATAGGTGTAATAAATTATTATATGTTATTATTATTTATTAAACCAGTCTTTGCTTAAAAACATTAAAAATACTTTTCCTACATCCAAAATAACAAGTATTATTGCAGTGTAACAACAGAATATTAATAAAAAATGCAAAATATATAGACATACTATCCCTAACGTTCTAAAGCCAAACAATAATATTCTTTGCTAATATCAACTAATACCAATATATGGCAACAGCGCCCTTCATAATGTATTTTCTGTGTAAATACTAGCACCTCAATAAAAAAAAATAATGTGTCCTTATCTGACTCCGCAAAAAATCAAAGACACCGCGCGCCGGCTTCTTTCATAGCATTGCCACCGACCGCTCGCTGTCGGGTTTCTCGGAAAGAAACCTACGTCGCCGGGCGACAACTAGAATCCAGTTAATATTTTATTATAATCGATCCTGATCCTGACGAATAAATGAATGGTTTTTGCTGCCGAATTACTAGAACACAATATTTCAAGGCAGATGACGCATCTATTCGATAATTTTTATTCGAATAGTTTTCAACGAATGTTTTCTTACTAGCTATCGAATTATTCGAATGAATTGCAACTATCGAATGTTTCGATAGTATTCATTCGATAGTTCCCACTACTAATTGCAAGCACGTTTTTGACGGTGGACAATATTTGAATTGAACTAACTCAAACCGAAAAGCGGCAGTATTTTAACGTACCATATTTAATGTTACTTTACAATAACATCCACCGTCAAAACGGAAGTACTACTCGTTGGCAAAAATGGCCGCTAAATTACTGCCGCTCTTTGGTGGTAGCGCTTTGTTGGAAACCGAGGCTTAACTCACTCAAAACAACTACACATCTGCGGCTGATCCGACGAAACGAATGAATTGAACCAGCCAGGGAAGATTTCGACAAACGACATCCAAAAAATTACATAAAATACAATTTAATGCCTATAAGATAACTATTTTTTACGAATAATTCATGAACTGTAGAATTTCCCACGAATATGGTATTTTGAGTTAAAATTTCCATTTTCCCTCTGAATCTCAAAATTTCCTACGAATCGGCATCAATAACCTTAACATCTGCGGCGCGGCGTATCAAAGACATAGAAGCAATATTGAAGATCAGCGAGGAGTGAGGGGATCGCGGGGACGATTTTTCGTCATCGTCCACTATTTGTTTGTTCTAACAGTATTTTTGTCTAATAGTTTGGTCTATCGTAGCGTACCTCAGATCGACGGTATGGCCGTCTATATCACCCCAATTGCTGTCCACCATTCGCGAATTTCAAGTTCCAGAGCTTTACGCCCTGGGTTACTCGAGAACGGTTCTGAAAGAAGCTGAGCGCGATAACCTGGTGCCTCCATATTGCGCGGAATAGTTCTGAACTTTATGACTCAATTGAATGGAGTGAGAGTATCGCGTTCTTGAACAGTTCAGAGCTGCATAACTGCGTGCATGGAAGACAGTAAACGAACATAGCTCTTTTTGAATACAAAAATTCCTATAAGGTGTTGTATCTGGATGAGTTAGTCTCTGGTTATACTTACTTTATTTTTTACAGCGTTTTCATTAAACTGCTTAAACGGCATTAGATATAAAACATCCTGATTAATATCAACATCTATAAGACTATCTTTACCGCAGCTTTTCAATGTTTTTCTCTAAAAAAAATATCAAAATTAATATAATCACTAAAATATAATATTTATCTGCATTATTAATAATTGCATGTTGATTGCAGATATATATATACCTACAAACATTTTGATAAACTTAAACAAAAATTCAACCTGTACGTTATATATTCAAATATTGTATAAGTTTAACACATTCGTAAGCAATATAGTGCATAAAGAAATAAAGGTAACATATATATCACAAAATATAACAATTTCTAATAATATAGGTAAAAAATTAAAAAGCTAAACGCAAATTCATGTGCCGCAATTAGACATTTAATTTTTTACAATTTTTACACCACTTGATGACTGGTAGCGTTTCTGGCGTAGTACGCGCCGTTTGTATTTTATTCCCGCTTATTGCCAGTCAAGAAAAAGTTCTAAACGGGGATGTGTTGTGTACGTTAAGGTCTCTGGGAATATGTGAACTAGGTATTTCAGTCCTTAAAATGGGATGTTTTTCCCTTATGGGGTAAGCTTTCTTTACATATTTCATTCAACCCTCAATCATAGTAGAAAAAAAAGAGAGTATTATGTTTACTAAAACCAGATTATACATCATTACTAACACACATAAACATACTCTATTGCCGAGATAGTTGTCCGGGTAGAATGTAAAATGTTTGGGAGGGTGGTAAATCACCGCGACTTTACAGATCTATTGTGTGTCCCCCTTTCTTGAGTTATAACAGGTTATAACTCATCATACAGTCTCGGGACTTTGACAAAAGCCAGTATCTGAGACGGCTCCACAGAGGCAAGGTCTCCATCTTCGACATCAGCCATACCAAAGTTTATGGCACGAACGGTTGTCGTCTCCATTGCTGCTGTTGGGCTGTTGGCAGCTGTCATGCAGATGCTTGCCAATCCCTGTATTTTGCACAGATTTTGCCTCGCTATGCGTTGCTCTAGTTTTGTGTACAAAGCAACTGATCCATGGGTAGTTATACTGATCCATGGGCAGTCTTACTATTACGGTATACATCCAGGGCTGAATGTTAGGTGCGCAGCCCCATTTATTTCTCGCCAGCTTTCTGCGTACCATGAGAGCCTTTGTGGGTAATGTTTTTAATATAATAATAATAATAATAAAATGTCTTTGTTTCCAACTCAGTGAGAATAACTGAATACTGTATAATAACAGTGAACCTTATATATTGAGATATGCCTGTTCCATAGAAGTTGGCAAAAATTCAAAAATTCCCGGATATTTGACTTCCTGTGATGGCAGTATTTCTTTTCCATCTAGATGGATTCTTTTCAAGTTTTTCAGACTTCGCTTTCTGGTGAATGGTACTACCGCGGTTTTGTTTCAGTTGATGCTCATCCGACAGTCCTGCACCATCTCTCAGTGATTCGGAGTCCTCTTTGGATAATATCACTAGTGATGGGAAAAACCGATTAACTTCAATAATCGAGTACTCAAGTTTCAAGCGATTGCAATAATCAAGCGATCGCCCGAGCGAAATATCGCTTGTATTTAAAAATACGGTTTTTCGACCGTCCGTCGCTTGTTGTAAGTACTCGTTAACACCAAGCGCCAAGCAGTAAGTTGCGTGTGCAGGGCATATATTCTTTGGGTGATGAATGGCAAGTAGCAAGCGATTCGCTTGATCGCTTGATTAGTTTATTTCAAAGCTTTGTCGATGTAGGTCGTAAAATGTTGTCCCACAGATACGCAACGGATAACGTCGTATAAATTTGCTACCTGCAATGTATGTAGAAAATTCGCTCGGCTTTTTATCGAGTATGTTACATTAAAATCGGATTTCAATTTATTTCATTCTAGGATCGCTTGCGTTCGTCGCTCGCAACTCGCCAGTTGCATCGCTCGTTCATAATTGAGCGATGTCGGTTATTTGAATAATCGAGTACTCGAGTGAATTTTCGCTTGAGTTATTCCATCACTAAATATCACACAGGAGCATTTATGTTTCCCCCCGCGATCATGACTACAGTCTGACAAACGGATCTGAAACAACGGGGCAACGGCAAGGGGATCTCAATTTTCTAAAATCATGACCGATTTCATTCATAAAATATCCACGAGCGTGCGGGGTTTCATAAAAATATATCAGGAATTTTTATAATATTTTCCAGTAAAGTTTATAATATTATTTTACTTTAAATGTACCTACATTTTGTTTAGTCATTTGCCAAATATAGTAATATTTGTTAAAACGCGTGTACTAATTACAATAAACACAATTCAAGTTAAAGATATAAAACACAATACAATAACACCGCCACTGGATTTTTCAATGGTAGTGACTGTTTCTACTATTCCTAGAGAGGGGCATAAAGTTGGGGGTAATGGCGACAAGACGTGCGAGAATCTCGACCAATCAGACTGGTTAAATCCGGGATGCCATGATGAATTTTGTCAGCGTTGCCAGCTTACCCTAAGCGGACGTTATCTTAAGGAAATACTTTACCTTTTATAATAGGCAGAATGAACGAAATCAGTTAATTATACATTATACATATTAAAATAAGAGCTACGATAAATATACATTATTACAATAAGAGCTACGTCAACATATTAGCATATATATATAATTATGTATGCTGAAATGAACTAAAATATATTCAATTTATAGGTAATATCGAGCAACTTTGCTTTTCTATAATTAAACGTGATAACATCGACTTTTTTTGCCCGAATTCCTTCCGCTGTTTTAGATTCGTTTGTCAGATATTATGTCATCAACATATCCTATGCAGTGTATTCCCGTTAGAGTTAATTTGTTTAGTAGTTCATCCACTACCAAGCTCCACAGTAGGGGCGGGTAACCCCCGCCCCTACCTATCCACCTTGTGGAGTTCCTTGCGTTGTGTTAAGAGCTATGTCCGGGTAGCATAATTGTAAACGACGCGACGTCCATGGGCGCGATTCGGTTCTAGGCCGAACGATACCGCGTAAACAGCATTCGATATCGCAAACCCTTCTGATAAATAGCATCTGTGATTCCAAATTTTAACTGACTTAACACCTCTCATAAACAGCAGACGATATCGCGAAATTTGTTAACGGGTTGCTCAGCATTCAGGATCGCAAATTTTGTTTGTCAATGCAAATTAAACGAGCCAAAAATCAAAAGGGGGTGTTTTCAAGCGGCCACTTCTAATAACAACGCATATTACTGGTTGACTTTGGTGTTCGTACGAAAAAATACACGTCAACGTGCTGTTGATTCGTAAACATTTCGATTATTATAGAGGATTATAAAGTAAAACCTAAAATCGTGTCAACAAATCAACAGAACATAGAATCCCGATGACACTATTTAATGTTCATCCAACTTACATACGTATGCAAATTACTGAAAACAAAATAGAGATAAAATATATTTTCCATAGAACTCAATATAAATTTCTAATACCTCACTTTTCTTAAAAAAAAAGATATGTCCTTAACTATAAAAAATATTCAAGAAGAAACTAAGTTGCAATCTTCTTGTACTAGAAAAAGTCAAATTTTTCCTGCAAAGAAACTACACAAATTGTAGTTTTTGTTTTAAATTTTTGAAATAAAGCTGGTCATTCTGAAAACACTGGGTAAAATTTTGGATGGAAATTTAAAAGATTCTGTAACTTTATTCATTTCAGCATTCATTTTTTGGTTTCGATTTATAATCTGTTTTTTTTAAAGTTAATTTGTTTTGAGTAATTACTCTTTTTAATTTCTGTAACTTACCTCAATTTCTTCCTTTTTAGCGAATCATGTTCTAATAATTTCTTTATCTATTAACTTATATACTCGTGGTTTGGGGGCAAATTAATTTTTTTGCAAAGTAATATTTAGTACTATATTATTTGGTAGACATCTTGTACTTGCAAATTTTGCGATCTTGAATGCTGATTACGAGCAACCAATCAACAAATTTTGCGATATCGTCTGCTGTTTGTAAAAGGAGTTAAGGCAGTTAAAATTGGGAATCACGGATGCTATTTACTAGACGGATTTGCGATATCGTATGCTGTTTACGCGGCATCGTTCGGCCTAGAACCGAATTGCGATCATGGACGTTGTTTACAAATATGCGTCCGGGTATGTCATTTGGCATTTAATTGACTAAAACGTTGCTAGGTACATAGTTTCACGAATATTCCCCTCACATACTTTTTTTCGCGGAAACAGAGGTTTATGACATACGCACATACCCAACTAAAAAATTTAAACAAAAATACACCTCTAAGGGTGGCTGCAACGACCTCCCGTAATCCTGCGGTTGTACAAACGTTGTACAAACGCATATTAAAATTAAAGGGTTCAGGGGAAATCAATTATAAGCTCCATTTTACTAATTTTACAGGAGAGCACTGACGGTTGGCGGTTATCAGGTTCTTTTCGTGTAATCTATATTTTTACTAGGCATATATCATAGGATTTAACAATGTATTGCCATACAGAGTTTATACATTTTGTAGGAACCAGTTAGACCTCCTATAATATTGAAAAATACTAAAATTAAGAAATTGGCGTTTATCAAGTTTTTCCCCTGGACAATTGTGATTGTGCTTTTACTATGACTAAAATTGTGATTATGATTACGACTGTGCTGTATAAACCCGGCATAAGATTGGGGTATTTCACATAGCATGGGGTATAACACATAGACTGCTGTATTCATATAGCATGAACAATGTCATTCTTTTAACATTATTTTGATATTTATTATTGAAATTAGGAGACTAAAGCTAGTGCAAAGATCAGAAGTATGAAGTAGCCATAATAATAAAAGCAGCAATAAATAAAGTAGCTATAGAACTACTATAGGCCTGGTGCATTTCAGTTCATTTTAATAATTCCGACCGCAGCGCTCGATACGGCAGAAATTAGAAGTGCCGGGTATAAAGTATTTTACGCAGTCTCGTTACCGTTTATGTCGATCGCATTGAAATAATATTAAAATTGTGGCTTTGTCATAATATTTAAGTATTTTATTTTTTACTAGTGCAGTTATTGAAATTATAAAACACTCAGGTACGAGGTTTGTGTGATGTACCGCTGTTTCGGGTAGCAAAAATTAAGTGGTAAAAAGTGCCCGAACTAGGCGTTGTGTTGTGATGTGAAAGTTTCAAATGTTAATAAAATTGCCGAAAAAATATTATGTACTTAGGGCGTTGTTAGGCACAATAACATTCAATAACTCAACATTCCCGGATATTCAACTCTCCCGAAACCAGTGGCGCCTCGTCAGGTGCAGTAGGTGAAGGGGCACTTCACCGAAAAAAATACTCAAATTAAAGAAAAAACTTTACTGCTTAAAATATTAATTTAGTTTAATATATTTACATGTATCTAAATAATAAAATGGTAATTTTTTATAAATTATTTTTTTTCCGGGTGGACCTCTGCATAATAGGTCCACCGCACCGTTAATTCCGATCGAAAAAGTAGCATTATATGTTATGTTACCACGTCCATAAGCCACAAGTGAAGTGAAAATACCTATTGTATGTGTGTGCAAAGCGGCTGCACGGTTTGCATGGTAACGTGACGTCAGCCTAGCGGCAGCATGTAAATCCCCCGCCCCAAAATTTGATTGTGAACGACCGATGGGAATGAGTTTTTCGCATATACGTATTACTTTTTACAAATATACTCAGCCTAATCTCCAAAAAGTGAAGCCCAAACAGTGAAAGAACAATATGGAATTCTGCATAAGTCTATTTCACCCGGATATTCATTTAACTGAGCATGCCTCACCTGAAGAAGTTTTCATTGGTCGATGTTTTTAGAGGGAAGTGGTTGACTGACATTTCCCCTAACCTTCAATTTTATTTATATTTTTATTATTTATAACACATTATCATGGAGTTGGAAAAATATCAAAAAATAGTTGGAAACAATAAACTAAACAAAATCACTCTTTTACGCGCACAAATAAAAAGTAATCCAAACAGAACTAAAACAACAATCAATCGGAGTTTGGCGTAATCGCAGTTCAATTCATATCCGGGTGAAATAGACTTATGCAGTTTTAATATGGAGCTGGGTTATATTGTCTTTTTCTTACGGCACAGAAATTGCACACGGGGTTAAATAGGGAACCCTGAGTATATTTGTAAAAAGTAATACGTATATAGTTTTTCGGCCAGTTCTTTTCGTCTTCCTTCAACTTAGTTGTTCAGGAAATGCGTAACGGGTAACGGCGTGTGGCGTTGACGCATAATTTATGCATTTATGCTAATATTCGGCTACTTCGGCGAGTAATTAACCGTGTAAAAATTGTAAAGTTGTTGTTGTTATGTTAAAAAATGAATGTACGTGTTAAAAAATGAACTCAATTAATGACTTGGTGTGCAATTTATTGGAAACTCCCTTCAGACGGCGGCGGCGGACAGATGAAGATAAGAGGGATGTTTTATCTCAAGGGCGACCAACTGAAACTTTAACCATAAATTGCAAAAAAGAAATAAGAAAAAGTGGTAAATCTTATAATATTAAATTTAAGTCTTCCTGATTTTCTGATTTTAATTGGCTATGTAGTAGTATTGTTTTACAAAAATTATTTTGTTGGTCGTATTTATTTTCTAATAAACATGGCATTTGGAATAAAGAAGGGTTCACTGATTTCGTAAATATAACAAGCTCTTTGCATAAACACGGGGATTCTGCAGAACATTTAAAATGTCAGTTAATGCTAAGAAATTAAAAAAAATCAAAATACAACAGCTGATGCTTTAGAAAAAAAAAACGTTAGACTATAAGCTTAATTTTAATGAAAATGTTCGTTTAAATAGGCTTTAACGCGAATATAATTAATTAATTAAATGCCGATATTACTGATAACTTTGCATCAATAAAGAACAGAAAAAATGAGATGATTTACAAAAATTAGTAAGGTAGTAATACAAATAAGTCAAATTTATTGTGGTTAATATTGCTTAGTAAACATTAATGTAATAATAGTTAATGTATAATAATTGAATGGCTCCTCGGTTGTAACCAACAATTTTTTCAATATCGAAATTTCAGTGAAAAAACCAAGGATAAAACGCTATACCTACCTATGAAAATTACAATCTTATTTCACTGAAATCTCTATTTTGAAAAAAAAATGTCGGTTACAACGTTTTTCGGGGAAGCCATTCAATAATTACAGCGTTCCCCATAAAGTTGGATCCATATGGACGGTTTTTTTGGTATTAAGAGTTTAAAAAAAACTTTTTGTGGCTATCAATTCTGCTTTAAAAACAACATTAAAATGCACTAAGTCAAAGTTGAAACATAATTTTGTTAGTCACTTTTTTTAAAACAATAATAATAATTTAACCAATTTTGCTGCATTCGCCATTTTGGTGAATGCAGCAAAATTTTTTCAAATATTATTTTAAAAAATTTTGACAAAACGGTGAGTGCGCCAAAAAAATTTTCGCCTGCGGCGCAATTTGAAGGAAATTAACCCTTCACCTAATTTTTTACCCACGAGCCGACACTGCTCAAAACACCATTTTATAGCTTCACAGCTTCCCACACTTTTGATTTCATCAAAAGCAAAAATGGATTCAAGCAGTTCGACGAAACAAGTGTGTAAACACAGTGCTCATAATAAAAAAATTAAATAGGCATATACTATGAGGGGATAAAATATAATTTTCAATATTAATGGTATACTTTTTTTAATCAACTAATGCTTAAATGCTCTATGGACATTTTCTAAAATTATAATTATGATTACCTATGTAGGTACCTTTAAAACATTTCGTTATAGCCGAAATAGCTCCAGTTACAAACAAAGTAGTATAAAAATTCAAAATGGCGGCCATAAGAAAACAAAACTTGACTGTTGTGCGAAATCTAGAAGGCTTAGAAATTTTCTGAAAATGGCATTTAATTGGCCGAGGTCAAAAATATAAACCTACCAACTTACGTTGCAACAGATACAATAGTTCTGAAGATATTGTCATTTAAAACAAACGTATTATTTTATTTTTTTTTTAGCATAAATCCGAAACTAATTAAGATACCGGGGTTTTCTTTATAGGTATTTGTCAAACTTCTAATTACGCAACTTTTGTCCCATTTAACCGAATTCGTATCTTTCGAAGTTTCTGAGATGCGAGAATGTTGAGCATCGAAATTGTCACCACATTGTATACCGGTTGTTTACGATATTATCCGATAATGGCAGCACCAGCGGAGAATGCATTAAGGCTATATGACATCTAGCACGAGGATAACTGATCACTCTCATTGTTAACACAAAATATTCTGTAAAATTATTCTCTTTATAGTTACCTTGTAAATCTGTATCAATGTTCTTGTAAAATATGCTAAATATTCTATACTTTCGTTTAAACTACCAGTAAACTTAATAAAAAAATGTTCTTGTAAAGCAGTGTAACTTGCAGCTTGATACAAAGTTTGTAGTGGTAACCCCAAATGCTGATTTTTACCATAGCTTTCCACAAGATATATTAAATTTTCAATACCTGATCGTTTCAACCTAAACTTTTGCTCATGATATCTAGAATATTAAATATTTTTGTTTTATATGTTCTTTGGCCTCTAATATTATATTTATATATTTTTCTTTCTTGGATTTAGGTCAATAAATAATTTTCTTTATTTTATCAACTACATCTATATTATATTTTAGTTAATGTCTAACGTTTCGACCATTTTTTTTGGACTTCATTAGAGTCTAAATTACATTACACAACGTTTAAAAACATTAAAATTACAATAACATTTTGTTTACTTATCAAGAATGTAGATAATAATCTTAAAATTTGGACTACAGATGAAGAACACCTTATAAAAAATAAATATGGACTATACATTTAAGAAAGAAAAATATATAAGAATATTAAATATTATACAGGGTGTTTCACAAAACATGTGCCATCTCTCGTGGGGAGACTCCTCACGTAAAAATAAGATTTATTTTTCATATCAACAAGGATCCGATTCTGCTTTGTTTTGTAGCTACAGGGTGTTAAAATCTTAATATTTTTTCGATTTATTATAATTTTCTTCCAAGTACTTCTAGCGTTGAAATTTTGAGGATAAAAGTTACTATAAATGCGACTTAATTTTTAACTCTATGAATGCGACATATTTTAAAGCGAAAAAAGTCGACATATTCACCATGGACCGCCATCGCCATGATCCAAGTCTAATAGCAACCTTAAAAAAAAATAATATCATTAACTTGCAAAAGTTTTAAATAAGTACTCATTATCCCTCATCAGAAAATATGAAAAAAAAGTTCTTATAAACATGGGTATGAAAATGCATAGTTTTAGAGTTACGGGATATGAACATTTTTTGAAATTAAGGTTTTTTGTAATTATCTTAAATACCATTATTTTTTTATCTGAAATCGCTGTACGTTGGACTAATAGTAACAATAACTAATAGTAATAATAATTAATAATAAATTAGGTAAAATACATAATTTATAAAAAAATTAAAATTATAATTTAATTAATTGATAAAATACAATATGATCGAAAAAAAAACGGCGTCAGGTCATCCTATGAAAAGAAGATCACTGTCATTTTATATGTAACATTATTCTAAGAAGATGACTTTGAGATTGGCGCCAGAAAGTGACGTACGTTCTTTTCGCAGTCTTTCTTTAAAAAGTGTTTTTTAGCGAGTGGAGTAGTATAAATAAGTGCAATTTTGATAGAAATAATTAGTGGGTAAGTGGGAGCAATAATCCTCTGATATAATTAGCTTTTATTCCCTTTTTTTCCTGCATTGCTTTCCATAACCTAAGTTTCTTGAACTAACAAGCATGGCAGCTTCTTCAGGGGGGTCAATTGGCCCCCCTAAGAAGTTTTTTAAATACACATATAAAGATTCTGGACCATACTTGGTAATAGTGGAAACCAGAAAAGAAGATGAGGAGGTTACACAAAACTTGGGCAACCTACACCCTATGTGTTTAGGAAGATGGCTTAAGGAATTTGGAATAATAGGTGTTAATAAAGTCTCGAGGAAGGGAAAAAACAGAGTCGGTTCACACCTATAACTTTTTATTTTTTCAGATAAAACAACGATATTTGGTATGTTAGCATATGACATAATTTGGGATTGATTGACGTATTCAATTGTTTTTCGGTCACTTCCGGTTTCACGGAAATGACTACAACTTTGATTTTAAATGGCACCCTCGGTATTTTTTACTTTATTCGATAGAAAATGACACTCTGAATCGAATGACATATCATATGTCAACTTTTGAAATTTTGGCATATGGTTTATTTGAAATTGTAACATGCGGTTCATAACGACAATTTGCTTCAAAATACCAAGTGTATGGTATCAAATTATTCGTAAAAAAATGCTTTTTCCAAATATGGTAATGAGCCACCCTCGTTCCATTTGAAAAAAAATGAGATATGATTAAAAATACGATTTGGGCATCTTATAACCGGCCAAGATTAAAATTAATGTTTTTAACACAGCCATTGCACTCTAGATTGAAATCTAAAATAGAATTTCAGAGTGCCATTTTCTATCGAATAAAGTAAAAAAATTAGCGCCGGGAGGCACGTATAGCCGCCCATACTAAAATATGTTAATATCTCGAAAACTGCGACTTTGACTGATTTTGATGTTATTACAAATTTTGTTGCAAATATTATTCCTAATCTTAATTTGAAAACCGCGTTTCGCTAGCTACTGTAATTTTGGAGTTACGATTTTTTTAAATTTTTAACCCCCTCCCATACCCCCTCACCAACCCCTCACCACCACCAAAAACTAATGGCCAGATTCTCGGGTGCCACAGTATTTTTGTGCCAAATTTGGTTAAAATCGGTTCAGCGGTTTTTGAGTTATCGTGTTACACACGGCAGACGGAGAGACGGACAGACAGACAGACAAACAGACACCATGAGAAAATATTTTGTATTTAGGTCATTTATGACTAAGGAATGCAATCCCGCAAATGCTGAATCCCGCATATGCGGGATCCCTCTGTGATTCCGCGGGATCAAATTTGCGAGATTTACCGTGCGGGATCTGCGGGATCGACACCAGGGGATTCCCCTTACGGCTTGGCCATTAAAAATAAGTGAAACAAACAGGTTAGTTGTTAGATTTCTTTCTGGCGTGCGTAAGTAAAGAAAAGCGTGTAACGTGGTTTAACTAGTACTTGTGGACAATTTCGTGAAATAAACTGCCGGACATAATTATCGGGACAAGCAAAATTTTAGGGTAAATTTAAAGTTGAATATCTCTTGAACTTAAAAAGATTTTGGGATGCGGTTTGGACCAGGTTTTAGATGCATCTATTGTGATTAAGATACTATGTGATTTTTTCGAAAATATATTTAGCGAATCCTCGTATACAGGGTGTTTTACAAGAGTGTGAAAATTTGGTCAAGAATCTTTTTTACCGCAAATTTACAATTTTTAAAAAATCGAAATTTTTACCAAGTACGACTAATCTGTGTTGAAATTAGAAAAAACAATTTGATCGGTTTTTTATTTTTTTTTTTGTTTTAAGGAAAATACGACGTTTTTTCGAAAAATATGCATTTTTAGTCATATGATGGTCCTAAATGGTACAAAAAGCTTTGTACATTCTGCATATGCCAAAAAATTATTGATACAGAGTGTATCTAAAAGCAGATAACTAACACAAATTGAAAAAAAAAACCTTCAACATCAGAATACTATTTTTATTTATAAAATAAGTAGATAAACTATAATAAAATTTAAGTTTATTCAATATTAAATACATTTTTTGAACACCCTGTATACATCGGTCCCAATTTCTGTTCAGCTAGTTTAAGATACACGCTATATCAGGATATTGTGGGCCTATGCAAAATGTACAATGCCTTTTGTACCATTTAGGACCAAATTTATGACTATAAATGCATATTTTTCGAAAAAAACTCGTATTTTCTTTACAACAAAAAATTAAAAAAAAACACCACATTGTTTTTTCTACTTTCAATACAGATTAGTCGTACATAGTTAAAATCTCGATTTTTCAAAAATTGTAAATTTTCGGTAAAAAAAATTCTTGACCAAATTTGTACACTATTATAAAACACTCTGTATACGAGAATTCGCTAAATATATTTTCGAATACCACATAGCATCTTAATCACAATAGATGCGTCTAAAACCTGATCCAAGCCGCATCCCAAAATCGGAGAGAGAAAAGAAGAGCATTTATTGTTTACAATCCTGCAATTTTGCGGATCAGCGGGATTGATTGCTTTAATCCCGCGGGTTTGCGGGATTTAGATTTTGGTGCGGGATTGCATTCCCTATTTATGACCCAAATAACTTATTTTGAGTGAAATTAAAAAAACTTTTTTTGCCGACCTTAATAGCGTACCATACCTACTGGTATGGTCGGCTAAAAATACCGAGGGTGCCATTTAATAATCAAAAGTTAGTCATTTCCGGTGAAACCGGAAGTGACAGAAAACAATTGAATACGTCAATCAATCCCAATTTATGTCATACACTAATATACCAAATCTCGTTGTTTTATCTGAAAAAATAAAAAAGTTATAGGGGGTGAGCCACTTTTGAGACGCACCCGGTATACTCTATTTCAAGTATGCCTCAGGTAACAAATCATTTTTTTAATTATTTATTAGCTGTAAGATATTTTATAAATTCAAATTTAGAAATAAAGATTATACAAAACAAAAAAAAATATGTTTAAAACTTTATAATTAATTCCACTTCAAATTATGAGCAGTGTATACCATGTTTATAGGACCACTTCATAAGTTCAGCAGTTAAATAGGTAGTCTATCTGTCAAACACGTCAAAAGAGAGAGAAAGAAAATTTGGTCCCACCACATCAAAAGAGCCGACTGTTTCTGTCGCTACTCGTCGATCCACTTACTCTGCTTATAGTAACTTTTACCTTCAAAATTTCTTTCGAATCACTAAAAGTACTTGGAAGAAAATTATACTAAATTGAAAGATTATCAAGGCTTTAGCACCTTGGAACTACGAAACAAAGCAGAATCGGACCTATCTTGATATGAAAAATAAATCTTATTTTTACGTGAGGAATCTCTCCACTAGAAATGGTACATGTTTTTTGAAACACCCTGTATATGCATCTTTAAAGATATGAAAAATACAATACCTTTTATCTTTTATGCTAGATGCAAAATCGTCCATTCTCTTTCTCTCAATTATAAATGGTAGCACTAGTTCATTTTCTGTCTCATAATCGCGACATACCCATAAAAAATCACCAACTTTCAGATTTTTTATCTCATACTTAATATTATATTTTTTAAGAAATATAATTGCTTCATCATTAATTTTTCTGAGAAATATTTCATTTTCAAAACCTGTTAATATAAGTTTAGAAGATGAAAAATTGACTTACCCTGAAGTTTCATTATTATCAACGTACAAAATAATATTAAATCTTTCAGATGTCAAAACAAACTCTTGCATACCAGAATATGAATTGGTATTTTTTTTATTAATCTTATATTTGGAAGCATCTTTTTTCAGTGGATTCCTACTATCACATAATTTTGACAATTGAATTACTTCAGATGTATTATCCTGCACAGCATTATCTACTTCAATTTCTTTTAAATTATCATCTAAATATTTGGGTTTGGAACACTTAAAATAGCCTTTTTCATACAGTCTTTTAGCTAATAATGTACCTTCCTCACTTAATGAATATTTTGGAGGGTGGCTAATTTTTAATATTAATTTTTTTGAAATTAAAGTTTTCATGGATGACCATGCAGTATAATGAGATCCAGGATTTGCTTTGGTAAATGAACTATTAACAAACTGTTGTCCATGTAAAATAATATCTGCTTTTCGTAAAAAACCTGGATAATCAGACTTTAAACTTTCTTTGTAAATAGCTAGCAGAATAGCATATCCTCCGGTTCCTTGTTGAGGAATATATTCCCTAAAAGACTGATCTAAAATGAAGAAAAAATATATCACTTGATATTTAAACTATTTATGTACTAATACCCAGAGCTGCAAGCTCACAGAAAACCTAAATCTTTTTTTATTTATATCATTTTAATAATTAAGTCATTTGATTTTACCTGGCCGTTGGCTGGTCGGATATATTGCGTACATATGTAGGTGCGTCCAGATGAACGACCAGTTTCAGCAGGGCTGTCAGATCTAACGATTTTTTATGTTTTAACCAATTAGAAAATACTGTTTTCAGAAATGTTAAAATATCCGAGTTAACTAAAAAGCGGAGTTCCTATTCATGAGCTTATTAAATGTTCTAATATTAAATAATACATTTAAAATATTAATGCTAATTACAGTAGTGTAATTAGTATAGTTTTCATACATTGTAGAGGAACAAAAAAAAAAGATTATACAAGATCAAAAAGGAACTTTAAATATGCTTTTTTTATTTTGTACCACTGAAACTCCAAGGTATTATCATATCAACTATAAATAGAGTATATCATATAAAAATATTTTGAATTTTTACTAGAATCGACCCTTGATAAAAAAATGACTAGATTTAAGTTTCCCTTTCATCTATTCTTCCAAATAATACTAATTATTTGGTTTTTCTGCACGTGTTCAAAAACTACACTAGAACACTATATCTTATAGAAAAGTTTGCGTTGAATTTGAGGGATTTCATCTGAAAAATTATTAATTTGGAAGAAAAGCGGCAACAAGCTGCAGAAAATAATATTTTAGTGCAGTCTACTGGTCGCAGCGACCAGCCAACAGCCAGGTCGTTAGTGCACGTTGTATCATTCAATTTTATAGTATTACAGGTAGCAGCGACCTGGTCGTCAGTGCGTCTATTAAGGGCTTAATAGATCTAATTTTTTTTAGAAAAGGTTTGTCTTTTTTCATATATTTTTATGATAAATTTTTAACAGCGGCATTTTCTTTTGAGCTCTCAAGCGACGTCGGCAGCAGATCAAATACACCGACACCCAGTACTGCTAGCGAATAAAAAGTTAGTTTTCGTAACAGTTGGAATTGTCGTGTTACGCGAGCGCGCATTGGGTTTGTATTTATCAAATGAAAGACAAACAAAGATTGCTATTATTTTATGTGGTGCACATTATCCAGACGGGTTCATTACAGAGTGTTTCGTTTTTTTAATCAAATTGGAAGTTTGTGTAAATTTAAGTTTGCAATAAATCTTTGTTTGTCCAAATATTTAGTTGTTAGGGCTCGTATTGATTTAAGTCTATACAAAAATGACTTGAGTTGAAATAAAATGATTTAATTTCAAAGACTTAAGACTTAAATCATTTGAACTTTATGTTAAAATTGACTTAACACTTAAGCCTTTTTAAAACCCACTTGTTGCAGCTCTGATCATACCTATAGATTTTGACATCTGTGGACTAATATTCTTAGTGTTTTTCTTTTCTCCTTCACTTCTGAACTGTGGTATATATTCTTTAAAAGGTTGATCTAAAAAATTTTAAAACATATTTCACCTATTTATAGGGAAAAATTAATAATTTATTTATACCTATTACAGCATTAGACATATTAATATTTTTAGTTTTGTAATTTTCCTCATTACTGTATTTTAATAATTTATCATCAAGCATTTTACATATTTTACCACCAAAACCTTTTAATATCTTGCAGTCCCTTCCGCTATTAAGTGGTAATGGGTACCTCCGTAAACAATGTAATGCATTGTTAAAAGTATATTGCATTTTTGAATCTGTATAAAATCTATTTGTTTAAGCAACTACTAAGTATGTAATATAAGTTGTATACCATTGGCAACTGCTTTATCTCTCCATTCTGTTAACCACTTCTCAAATAATGGGTTTGGACATTTTATTTTTAAGGATACTCTATTTTTATTTCGTACTGGGTCCATATTCAAATATTTTTCAACTGAATACTGAATCCATATACTGAATTTACCTCAGATAATGCCAATTATGATGCCAATAGACTCAGACTGCTAGTTTAATTGAATAAGGTTTGAAATAGGTTTCAATCAATTTTATCATTTAGACAAATTTAGATATAAACACATAACCTAAGATAGTTTACCGTTCTTGACCTAAGATAATGAAATGAAATGAAATAAATAAAAATAAAAAAATATAAAAATTGAACAGAGATACCCAGAGGAGATACCGAAAATTTGAATTCAACAAGGGGTTGAAGTAGGGATGGCAACGATATATCGATATATATATGATAAATATCGATTTAGCATGAATAATATATTGCGGTGCGATTAACAAAAAATATACCGATATTACGAAAAATATATCGAACAGGGCGATGCTCTGGAGCCCTAACTGAACACATGGTGAAATGATCAAGTCTCTAGCTGTTTCTGGGCCTCTGCTCTGGGTCAAGTTTTTATTCTTTTTGGTAAAGAAAGAGGTAAAGTTAGACCTTGAAGTTAGACAACCTTTTAAACACGGTATTATTTTTTTTTCCACAAAACGTGATTTGCGTGATTCAACATTCAACAACGTGATTCTGATTCTGAGGGTGCAGCCACACTATCCTAAAAACGGCGTATCGGCGTAACAGCGTAACGACCTTGAATCGATTTCCAGTAATTCTATTGGCTGAAACATTCATCTGTCAGAAATTTTATCTGTCAAATTCATCTGTCAAAAATTTCAGCCAATAGAATTACTGGAAATCGATTCAAGGTCATTACGCCGTTACGCCGATACGCCGTTTTTAGGATAGTGTGGCTGCCAGCGTTGCCAATCTTTGTGGAATTCCACAAAATGTGTGGAATTCGTAATAATGTTGTGGAACGTTTGTGGAATAGAATAAATGTGGAATTTTGTGGAATTTTCGGAATTATTCTTTTTTTCCTTTTTTTCCCCTTATTTAGCTAATAGTAAAAAAAAATTAGAAGACTCATCATAATTTTACAGATTTCTGTAAAAAGAGCGTCGCCGTGGAGGTCAGCAGCTAGGTTCGGTATTTACAAATACGTTTAAATTACCTATACGGAGGGTACCGCTTAAATTCCTGTCCCGATGTTAAAGGATGGCTATAGAATTTCAATGCATTTCCTACATAAGTCTATCCTTGTGTGGTAGGAGGTTTGACTAAACAAGGATGAACCTATGTCTTGAAACCATTCGACTCGATTTTCTGTCCCCTTCAATACTGGGACATAATATCTCTCATTGCTCTTATGGGGAGGCCGCGGTATAGGTAGTTTAAACGTATTTGGGTATTTAGATCTGCAAGCAATCCAACGAAATTTTCGACATATCACATATCACACGTCACTATATTATGTAAAATCCCTTTAAGATCACGTGGTTTATATAAAAAAAATGTCGGATTGGTCGCAGACCTAAAGACCGAACCTGGGGCGCTATTCTGTAAAATTGTCGGTATCGGTAAGTTACGACAGCTCTCGATACGTATTTGTATATAATAAAAATGGGTATACCTAAAAATGTGTTAATTGTTGTTCTCATAGTTACCGATCGGTCCTATGGCAGATATCGTAAATTTTACCGACGAAAATCGGTATCTCTACCGGTAACTATGACAACAACAATCAACACGACGCTCATTGGCCGTACGTACCGATAGCTGTCGGTAACTTGCCGATACCGACGATTGTACAGAATAGCGCCCCTGGCTAGTGATTGTGGAATTTTGTGGAATTTGGGTATGTTCGCCGTGGAATATAAGTTTGGACCATTGGCAACGCTGGTGGCTGCACCCTGACTCTGATCAAAGACCAGATTCTGACAGATTCTGATTCTGCTCTATTTACCTCTACCTGCCTCTAAACTCTAGCAGCTCTATTCTATTATTCTATAAGTTAATTATTCTATATTCCCGATATTCCCTGTCTTTATCTATATGGTTTTGTGGTTAATTAGGTTTGTTCATTATCATCTATAATGAAAGTTAATATTCAATTAATAGATGAATTGAAGGTAGAAATGTGGTAAAATTAATCAACCTATCATATATTTCAACGAATTTAATGTATTCCAGGGAAAAGGTATTGTTGCTTTGGAAAACTTTCGGAAGGGATCGTTAATTTTTGAGGAAGATCCAATTGTAGCTTGTCAGTTTTCCTGGAATGCTGCATGCAAATATGAAGCTTGCAATCATTGCTTAAAGTATAACGAATGTCTTTATTGTTGAATAAATCTTATAAGTATTTGTTATTGTTAGGCCTTTAGAAACTGCCGAAGAAAATGTAAGGCGTCTCACAGGTAATACAAACTTAGTCTTACCTTATCCTGAATGTTCTACAATTAGTAAAAGTGGTATCGTGCAATGTGTCTCTTGTGGAACGAAGTATTGTTCTCAACAATGCCAAGTTGAGTCCCTCAATCAATATCACAAAGTATTATGTTTTAATACACTGGAAAGAAATAATGGACACCCACTAGAACAGTTGGAAGAAACTTGGAAGTATGTATCATTAGTTGGTGCTTGTCAGATATAACAATTGGCATTAATTTATGTATCAGTCAAAAGCATACACTTAAATAAGAATTTTAAGCAAAAAAAAAATTGTGGATGAACCACAGTTTAATGAAAAATAGATAAATTAAAAGTGCATTTTTATGTTATGGTGAAGTTGTATAAGTGTGTAATTATTGTAGAATTGATGAACACAATCACACAACACACAATTTTTTTTTCTTTATATTATTGCTATTTACATGTAATGCATTAAACAAGGCTGGAACTTGATCAGTTATGCTGTATTTCCAGTCTTTTTGCAATTTGTATATTTTTTTTTCTTTATATTTTTGTTTATTGTGTTTTATAATTCTGTTGTTTGTATCTAATCTATGTACACAAAATACAATAAATTTTCTTCTTATTATTATAAGCTGTAATATATATATTTTTTGCAAAAAACACTGAGTAAGCCATAAACTGTTACACCAATTATAGTTATATGTAGGTATGTATATAAAATAAAAAGTGAAGGGTTCTTGCAGTATAGATATATAATATAACTAAAGCAACCGACACTAAAGTAGGCCAGTTGATATAGTAATTTTATTTGTTTGCCGTTCTGGGAAATTCAGCCCGGTTAGCTCGTCTGATGATGGGGTATAGGCCCCACAAACCGGTAAAGAGAGGGTGGTTGGCTTCCCAATGGCAAATAAGCATAACTTTTGGAAATAAAATCAATCAGTTCAAATCTAGTCTTAGCTGCGAACTTTTTGATATACCCTGCATAGGTACCTATCGTAAAAAGTTATAAAATGCGATTTGTAGAATATTAATATTACAATATATATGTTACCGTAAATGTCCGAAATGCGGTAAAACCTAGGATAAGCGCGGTAAAACCTAGGATAAGCGCTCTAAACCTAGGATTTACCAATGAATTAACACCCCCCAAATAACCACGCTAATCAACTCGAAATGTAAGGACGTCGGACATTTACAGTGACATATATACCGGGTGCGTCTCAAAAGTGGCTCACCCTTATAACTTTTTTATTTTTTGAGATAAAAAAACGAGATTTCGTATGTCAGTATATGACATAAATTAGGATTGACTGACGTATTCAATTGTGTTTGGTCACTTCCTGTTTCACCGGAAATGACTACAACTTTTGATTTTTAAATGGCACGCTCGGTATTTATTTACTTTATTCGATAGAAAATGGCATTCTGAATAGAATGACATATCACATGTCAACTTTTGACATTCTCGCTTAATAAAAAATTGTATTTTAAAATTCCATCTAGATTGCCATGGCTATGTTAAAAACGCTAATCCTTAATCAATAGTGATGGGAATATCGGTTCTACATGAGTCGCATTACAGTAGCGACCGTTCCAGAAAAATACCGCGACAAAATACCGCTATTTTGAAATCGAGGTTGCGACTTCTACAGTGTCTAATAATACTATAGTTAGTTGCTTGCGAAATTACCTGTCGCGATAATGCTTTTGTTCATTATATTGCGGGAAGTAGCATTATATTTTTAATTTTTAAAGAAATATCAAGGAATGACGTATTGTCTTTAACGACTCATATTTGACATTTAGACAAAGTCCAAACCACTGTCAAAAAATTCTTTATTGGTGACCGGTTTCGGCAATTCCAATCATCATTAGACCTGAAAATGGATATAAACAATAAAACTTATATAAATGTATAAAAGAAAATAACATTTTTATTTTATTTTAAGTGCTTTTACGTTTCATCTTTCTAACAACGCTATTTTATACCATGCCTAGTACATACCAAAAATCGCTATTTCGAAAGTAACGTAGCGACGGGAGCACCCACGCCAATAGTAACCGACCAAATCGCGACAGGCGAACACGGAACCCTAGAAGCGCTCCAGCGACTGCTGGAACGAAGTACGTCGCCGCCGAGGTCGAGCGTCGATAATCAATCAGCAGTTACTTCTGTTCGCGACAGGGAACTAAAACTCTAGGAACGCGACGGCTGGAGCGAAGTAGGTCGCCGCCGAGGTCGAGCGTCGATGCCCAGTTATAGCAGTTACTTCTGTTCGCGACAGGGAACTACACCTCTAGGAGTGCGACGGCTCGGCTGGGGCGAACACGTCCCGATCGAGATCGCGCGGCGCTACGGACATACCAGTTTCAGATACTACTGTTGGCGACCGACGAAATCGCGACGGCTGGAGCTAAACACCTCGCTATACGGTTACTATGGTTCGAGCTTCAGCAGAACTTCAAGAGCGACTATAAATAATTTATTTGCAAATTATAAATAATTTATAATTTTGTCGTCATTATAATCGTCGTTCTTCAGTAGCAGGTTCCTGATTCGTTGTGGAGCGCGACACGACGTTACAAAAAATACCGCTCCAAAATCGCGTTACTCAAATACCGACACATCACTATTAATCAAGGAACCTTGGAAAAATAATAAAAATACGATTTGAGCATTTTCTACCTGGCTAGGATAAGACACTAAAAACATTAGACGATCAAATCTATTTTTCCAAGGCTCCTTGATTAAGAATTAGTGTTTTTAAGATAGCTTCACTGCCTCACAGCAGGCACTCTAAATTGAATTTTAAAATACGATTTTTTATTAAGCGAGAATGTCAAAAGTTGACATATGATATGTCATTCGATTCAGAATTCATTTTATTCAGAATGTAATTTTCTATCGAATAAAGTAAAAAAATACCGAGGGTGCTATTTAAAAATCAAAAGTTGTAGTCATTTCCGGTGAAACAGGAAGCGATCGAAGACATTTGAATACGTCAATCAATCCTAATTTATGTCATATACTAACATACCAAATCTGTTTTTTTTTTATCTGAAAAAATAAAAAGTTATAGGGGTGAGCCACTTTTGAGACGCACCCGGTATATCTATTTTTTTATTTACAGACAAGTGCATTATCCTCCAGAAACGTCTTCAATATTTCTTATCGTTCGTTTACTAGCTAGAGTTATACAAGCACCAAATAAGGAAGAATTTATTTCCCAGATATTAAATTTTTGTCATAGAAGTAAAAATGAAGAGAAAAATTTAGCTCATAAACTTTTAGGAGAAAAATATGCTGGTGAAATAAATTTACTACGAGAATTATTAGGCAATGCAATTCCAAATGAAAATATTCAGGAGTTTTTATCTCCAGAAGGATTTCAAAGTCTTTTAGCATTATTAGGTAAAAATATTGCTTAAACATATATATATATATATATATATATTTTTATATGAAATCCAATACATACTTGATGTTACAACAGAATTTCTTATAATTCAAGGGAGGGGGACACGATAGATCTATAAGGTCGCGGTGATTAACCCCCCTCACATACACTCTACAAACCCTATATTATTTCTATCTAAAATGATATAAATGAGAGGTCTCTTTTGACACTAAAATTAGACCAGATACTTTCTGCTCATAGTGCCGGTGCTCTTCTTTCTCTTTGATAGGACCTTCTGTTTCTCTTTCCTTTTCATTATTTTCTGTCTCCTTTGATGTTACATATTGATATTATCATACCTGATGATATCAGTTGTGTAACTTCCTCTATCACCAATAAAATTGATAAACCATGTCTGCGTGTTCTAAGACAAAGCCATATTTTTTAAATCTAGGATCCAAAAGCAAGCCAGTAGCCAACTAGTTGAAATGAACAAGTCACAGTTGAAATTTCGTTTAATTCCATGACAATATACTCGGCATTGTGTGATCTAATCATTTCCTTACTTTCGCTTCACATTTATTTTCATAAATAAAATGACAAGTGATATACAGGGTGTACCAGGCTGAGCGCGCATTAGAAGTTTCTAGAGACCCACAATATCTACATCGGAGATTTTTTGCACATCATAGTTTCATAACGAGATCTATCGATTTTAAAATATTTTCAATATGGCGGCACTTCCGGAAATAACGGATGTTGACAGCAACTTTCTTATTTTAAATGGGTGCCCCCATTTATTATTACATACTTAAATTATCTGTAAACTTCTATGAATATTGATGTTAAACACTGTATACCTAACATTAACCGTTTTTGAGAAAAACAAATATTTAAAATTTTTGGACGACAAAAACTTGTATAATTTAATAAATTTGTATAGCCTAAAAGTCAAATTTAGTGATTACCACAGCCACTGGGATATAAAGAGAAGACATGTAGCTATCTATTTCAAAATTTAATTTTTTTTTTCTTAAAAACGGTCAATGTTAGATATAGAGTGTTTAATATCAAAATTCATAAAATTTTACAGAGAATTTAAGTATGCAATAAAAAATGGGGGCACCCATTTAAAATAAGAAAGTTGCTGCCGACTTCCGATATTTCCGGAAGTGCCGCCATATTGAAAATATTTTTAATCGATAGATCTCGTTATGAAACTGTGATGTACAAAAAATCTCCGAGCTAGATATTGTTGTTCTCTAGAAACTTCTAATGCACGCTCAGCCTGGGACACCCTGTATAATAATAGGCTTTGTCCGACGCCTAGATGTCTGTCGGTAAAGCAACATGTTTAACTTGATTTAAAATTAGACAGTTAAAACACGGCCAAACACGTAGACGTAAACGTATCGTTTGACATGTACGCGTGCGCAGTGAGAAATTCACTTGCGTTTACGGATACGTGATACGTATCTTCACGTACGTACAAAACGCAAACGTATCGAGCCGAAGGAGTTTCGATTTTCATCCGAATGATGCCGAACGTACAAATTCACAAACAACTCGTTTCCACAACTGGCTAGTAATTAAGTTATTTCATAAATTTTGGGGCCAGTGTAACAGAACTGGGCCTATTTTATTACAATAAATTAGTATGAAAATATTAAGCATCATAATAAACTCATTTTGGAATCTATTTAATTAAATGCTAGTTCTTAGCCAAAATCCATATGAGGATTCTAAAAGATGGAATCTAATAAATAAGTCTGTTTTCCAATATTTTTTATTACTAAGAGCATTTTATGTTGTAAGGACTAGACTTTCTGTAATAAAATAATTTCCATTTATAATTTTCTTCATTTTTCGATATTACTTTTCTAAATTTAATGTGGAATCAATGCAATAATAGATATCAATTTTCAGTTTAAAATTAAATAAATTGTTTCACAAAATAATTTAGAATTACGAATGTTGCTTCTGATAGCAACATTTCCAAAAGCTCGTTTGATAGGACCAAAAAGTTTTAATGGGCCTGTTTCACAATTTTCTTTATTTAACCAATTGAAACTACAGCTAAAAAATAATAGATCTTCAAAAAAATAGAATTTTATTCCTAAGTTTGGTACCTCAAAAACACCTATCAACATCTATTGCGCCAGAAGGGGCGTGGCCAAACGCTATCGTATGCTAGCGACCGCGCTCGACACTATGATTTTGACGGCTTTTGACAATTACAGAAAATGTAATTTGAATTTAAGGAGTATTATTTATGTAGTAGTGTTCCTTGGGCGCGATATAAATGCAAAGAATACATAAATACATTGCATAGGGTGAGGTTATATTATTTCGGTTAGGTTGCTGGGGTTTGGGATCATGTTTTATCCCTCATTCGGAGGCCTTGGGCCCATTGCGATACCCCTGTTATTGTTGTACCAAACCTTCTTCTCATATTTTCTTGCGTTAAAGCACTTCCAGCTCTTTGCAAAGTTCCCGATGTCGCTGATGTTGGCTTCTGCTGCTTCCTCTAGTCCCCCCAAAAAACTTTGCCCTAAAGTTTAAAAGCGTCGTTATTCCAGTGCCGGACAATGGATTCCAGACCCCATCTCCATCGTATTAAGCGTTCTAATATCTTCGCATTTTGCCTTCCCCAATATTCTCATTTAACAATGAATCATTACAACTGTTTGATATTTTTTCCTATTGAATCAGTTGTTTTAATACCATATGGTCGAATAAAAAAGCCTCTACTACAACCATTAAATATATAGAAATAACGAGCCATATGGTAAAATACAATCTAAAAACATCGTTTTTATAGGTACTAATGGCCAAGGTGTTGGAACAAGCCCTTTTAGCGCATGGCGTGAAAATGTCCATAAGAAAAATTTATCTTCAGAAGAACTACAAAAAGTCGATGACTTTATTGATAAAATTTATGAAGACATGTATTCACATACAGGTGATTTTCTAAATAGTGAAGGGGTTGCATTATATGTTTTACAGAGCTGTGCAAACCACAGTTGTATGCCGAATGCAGAAATAAGGTTCCTTCATAATAACTCCCGGTAAATGCATTTTTAAGAATAGTTTTAATGATCGTTTTTTTCGTACATATATCGTTGGTATACTAGAGAAGGTGACCAAGTCCATTAGTAACAAATGTTTTATTTACGCGTATTTTTTTACATATGGACTTGAACAATTGTGTAATAGCACATTGTTGAGTTTATACACAAAAAATGGAGTTGATTTGACATTTTTTTTTGTAAAAATATATGACGTTTTAAATATTATATTGTTAAAAAATGAAATTCGGCCTTGGTTACTTTCTCTTATATACCGACGATATATTTTATCTGTAATATATAACCATGTAGTATCGAAGTCCGTATTGTAGTATCGAAGTCAGTAATTTATATAATATAAATTTTTTACGTTTTTGGAATTTGATTTTTAGCCTATCATTAGTAGCCCTGGAAGATATTGAACCAAATGAGGAAATATGTATTAGCTATCTTGACGAGTGTGCCTTAGAAAGATCGAGACATTCAAGAAGAAAGTTGTTACAAGAAAATTACCTTTTTGCCTGTGAATGTCCAAAGTGTATTTCACAAATTGATGATCCAGATATTACAAGTGATGAAGAAATGTCAGAATGTGATAGCGAATAACATACATACATGCTATACAATTAATCATGTTATTAATAATTATACATGTATGTAAATAAAATAAAATCTTTCTATAAATTAGAGCCTGTTAACCATTACAAAAGTTAAGTAGAACATAATATCAAAGTATGTCAAAATTTAAAATTGTAACACCAACTAATAAAAAAAGTAATGCAGTGTGAGATTCCGTGTAGAAATTGTAACAGGATATACAGGGTGTCCCAGGCCTGTACGCGCAGTAGAAGTATCTAGAGAACTACAATATTTAGATCGGATTTTTTTTTGCACATCATTACTACGTGACTATCGGCAACTTGTAATCCGATTCAGTCGATCGTATCTGCTTGAAACCCTTTTTTTAAGTTCCGTGTCTATCGCCATTTTTCTAATACATCTTAAGGTTTTTTCTTTCAATATCTAAATATCAGATAAGTATAGAATGTATAAAAACAAAGATAAATGTATAAGATGAAAACGTGGATGAAACAGATTAAGTGAGATTTTTAGTATTTTTTGATATGAGTGATACCTCTTGACTGTTGTCCATTTTAAATAAGAAAATGACAAAACAAAACTGGATTTTGGGTCAACATATAAATCAAAACAAACTACAACGAAATTAAGGTTAGAATGGTTGCTAAATGTCATTCTAAGTCGATCCTATCCTGTGTATATCAAATGAGAAAAGCTCATGAATAAAAGCTCATGAAAGAAAACGCCTTGCGTGAACATCTTGTTTATGTGTGTCGAATACTCGTCAGCGAGTAACGGCTGTATATGTATATCAAATTACATTATGTTTGCATCTGCTTGAATAAGTTCAATCCTTCCGAAAAACGGGATTGAGTTAAGAATTTGGATCTGCATTGAGATATCAATCGCCGCTGGGCATATAATTATTTCTGATGGATTGAAGTGAGTCCGATCTGCTCAATCGCATTGAAACTAGCTGATGTACACATAGTCATTGTTTCATAATGATATCTATCGATTAAAATATTTTCAATATCAACTTTCTTATTTTAAATGAGTACCCAAATTTTTTATTACATACTTAAATTCTCTGTAAAATTTTATGAATTCTGGGTAGGCAATTCTGATATCAAACACTATAATAATAATAATAGCTCCCGTATATAGCGTTTAACGCCTTGGGAGTAGCAAGGTACAGCCTGCCATACTAGAGCCGTTCGGTATACAAGGAAGGTCATGTGGCTAGCATTACGCTGCAACCGCCTATTATTACCTCAGGATTGTGAATCCCAAGTACTCATTTAAGGCTGAGTCAAACCAAACCAAACCCAAACTATTTTTATTTTAATAAAAATAGTCGGCTGATGCAATGCTGGGTGTGGGATTCGAACCCACTACCTTGAGATTGGTAGACGAGAGCCTGTATCTCTACGCCAGTGGGCACCCTATCATCAAACACTATACCTGACATCTGGTGTCAAACACTATACCTGACATTAACCGTTTTTGAGAAAAAAAAATTTTGGAGGTAAAAAACTGCCTGTCAAAAAAATTTGTATAGTGTCTAAACGTCAAATTTAGTGATTATCATTTCAGACATTAAATTTTTGAATGTCGTAATATTGGACGTAGCTGTCTGGTTGAGCTATTAAAAAATTATAATATTTTTTTTTTCAAATAGGAACCCACTTTTTTATTTCACCAGTGAAAAAAATTTTCAATTCGTTACTTTGTGATTATAAATGTTTCTATACCTAAAATAAATCGTTTATGAGTTATTATTTAAGATTTAGTTTTAAAGCGAAAACGTATCTAGCTTTCTTTGACATTAAGTGTCAAACAATCAGAGAATTATTTGAATATCGTATGCGTATATTATAAATACTGCTGCTAAAAAAACGGCTCAAAGTTACCTTGGAAATCGATCGATGACAGACTGATTTTTTAACAAAGTGTCGCAATATGATATGGCCAGATATGCTGTTTTACATAGCTTTTACAAATTATAGGCTACTGGTGAAAAACCAGAAAAAATATATGCTTTAAAACTTAATCTTAACTTAAAAACTATTTATTTTAGGTATAGGATAACATGTATAATCAAAAAGTAACGAATTAAAAAACTTTTTCACTAGTGAAATAAAAAAAAGGTTTCCATTTGAAAAAAAAATTATTTTTTTTTGTTAGCTACGGTCAATATTATATGACTTTTGAACAATTTAATTTTTGAAATAGATAGTCATATATCTTCTCTTTATGTCACAGTGGCACTAATCACTAAATTGGATGTTTAGACTATATTAATGACCTCTATTGGCCTATATATACAATATTTTTGATAGGCAGTTTTTTTCTCCAAAAATTTTAAATGTTTTTTCTCACAAACGGTTAATGTTAGATATAGAAATCATATTAAATATATACAGAAGACATTATAGAATTCATATAAAACTTTTATTTACTTTAATTTTATAGAGAACTCAAATATGTAATAAAAAATGGGGGTACCCATTTAAAATAAGAAAGTTGCTGTTAACTGGTATGGTACTAACTTCCGGTATTCCCGGAAGTGCCGGCATATTGAAAATATTTTTTAATCGATAGATCTCATTGTGAGATAGGTAAAAAATCTCCGATCTAGATATTGTAGTTCTCTAGAAACATCTAATTGCAGAGGCAACGGCCCAGCTACGTCGAAACACCGGTTCCCAAACCATTACACCCGAAGAGCTGGAAACAGAGGTGGAAAACCTCACCAAGCTCATTCAAAAAGCACGAAACAAAATTGTCAAACAAACACATATAAAACCCGCAGAAAGCTGTCTGCCAGAAGAAATTATAAATCTAATAAAATTTAAAAATAATGTATGCAAAAGATGGCAAAGAACAAAAATACGTAGCCTCAAAATCAGATTAAATCTTCTCATAGAAACAATAAAAGACAAAATAACAGCTTATAAAAACGAAATCTGGTCCAACAAATTAAAATTTCTCTCCACTCAAAACAACTCCTTATGGAAACTAGCCAAATCGCTTAAAAACAGATACAATAAAATCCCAAATTTAGCAAACGAACCACAAGTCACACGAAAAAGCTGACCTGCTTGTTGAGCATTTTTCAAATGTATGCAGGGAGAAGCCAAGTATTACACAACACCAAATACACGTAGATTGCCCATTGCACCCAGATGTGCAGATAATCCTACTCGCAACACCAAAAAGAGTCGCGGAAACAATAAAATGTTTACCTAAGAACAAAGCACCAGGTGAGGACGGTGTTGCAAATATAAAACTAAACCTCCCAAAAAAGGCTGTAGTACAATCAGTGGCGCATCTAGAGATTGAGTCTGGGAGGGGTAGTGTGAATATTCAAAAAAGTACTAAATTTCAATTAAATTTTTGCTGGAAGGTATTGTAACTGTGGAAAAAATCTACTTGGATTGGTTTGTATATTCTGTTTTAATTTGTATTATTAACTTTTTTGTTACAATTTTATTTTATACCAAATTTTATCTTATTAATTTCTTTCTGGGAGGGGTAATTGTATAGGGCTTGTTTCTCTCTACAATTTCCTGTTTCACAATGTACCGTTTGTGTCCGGGAAGGGTTCATAGTTTCATAGTTGTCGATTTTCGAAAGAAATCTGTACATGCATATTATTTCGTATATTTTTCATTTTATTGATTTTATGGAAAGCACTGTTCATTAAAATGTTGTATCCTATGTTATAGGGCTCATTTCTTTCTACAATTTCCTGTCTCACAATGTACCGTTTGTGTCCGGGAAGGGATCATAGTTTCATCGTTGTCGATTTTCGAAAGAAATCAGAACATGTATATTATTTCGTATATTTTTCATTTTATTGATTTTATGGAATGAATTGTTCATTAAAATGTTGTATCCTATGTTATAGGGCTTGTTTCTCTCTACAATTTCCTGTTTCACAATGTACCGTTTGTGTCGGGGAAGGGATCATAGTTTCATTGTTGTCGATTTTCGAAAGAAATCAGTACATGTGTATTATTTCGTATATTTTTCATTTTATTGATTTTATGGAAAGCATTGTTCATTAAAATGTTGTATACTATGTTATAGGGCTCGTTTCTCTCTACAATTTCCTGTCTCACAATGTACCGTTTGTGTCCGGGAAGGGATCATAGTTTCATCGTTGTCGATTTTCGAAAGAAATCAGTACATGTATATTATTTCGTATATTTTTCATTTTATTGATTTTATGGAAAGAACTGTTCATTAAAATGTTGTATCCTACGTTATAGGGCTTGTTTCTCTCTACAATTTCCTGTTTCACAATGTACCGTTTGTGTCGGGGAAGGGATCGTAGTTTCATGGTTGTCGATTTTCGAAAGAAATCAGTACATGTATATTATTTCGTATATTATTCATTTTATTGATTTTATGGAAAGCACTGTTCATTAAAATGTTGTATCCTATGTTATAGGGGTAATAATTAAAATAAATTAATTTCTTTCTGGGAGGGGTAATTACCCCCATTACCCCTCCCGTATATGCGCCCCTGAGTACAATTAACGTACATAATAAACCCAGTGATACAGTTGCAACACTTTCCCCGCCAATGGAAAAGCGCTGTAATTATCCCTCTTCTTAAACCGGGAAAGCCATCAAATGATGTAGCCTCATACAGACCACTAGCTTTACTCAGCAGCATGGCCAAAGTAGCCGAAATTTTTTTATTAGAACTTATACGTCCGCTGGAATTGGAAAAGTCCATACCCGACTTTCAATTCGGCTTCCGGCCCCAGCACAGCACAACTATGCTGTAAAAACGCCTTTAATCACAAACAATCATCTGTGCTACTTACCCTCGACATCAGCCGTGCCTTCGATACAGTCTGGCACAACGGGTTGCTCTACAAATTGGCGTTTATCCACGACTTTCCCCCATTCCTAGTCAATATAATAAAATCGTACCTACAAGATCGCGTCATAAAAACGAGAGTAGACGGGTCCTACTCTATACAACGCAACATCAAAGCGGGTGTTCCTCAGGGTACCGTACTTTCGCCTACCCTGTTTAATTATTACACCTCCGATATACCAACTTTCCCTAGGTCACAAACTGCCATGTT